TTAGTTATTCAACAGTTTGGCAATAGTGCAGACCTGCATGTGCTGAAGATCAAAAACTTCGATGTTCTGAGACAAATTGTAGATCTGAACTGAGCTGCAAATGGTGCTGAGGGCAAATATAGGGGCGCATTCCCTAACCGCGATTTCATTGTCAAAATCGCCTGCAGTTTCCATCAGAACGACAGCAACCTGACAGAAAATTGTAATTTTGCTTGAACTGATTATTTGATTTTTCAAACCTTTTCCCCTGTGGGAAGATCAACAAGGAAGACTTCTGACCACATTCGAATGCCAGTGGTGTCTTTTTCCAAGGCTCCTCTCCACGAAAAACCGTCCAGAGGTGATTCTTCCTCGCCCAACCAGTCTTCAGCGCCCTGCAAGCACTTTGGGGTGAACACACAAAGGAGACAAAAGGGAGCAAACTAAGCGTTCCGGAGCGTGCTTGTTCAATTCGGGAAGGTTACAGAATGGAATATACACAGAAAATTATTATTATTTTTTTTTTTATTCCATATGTGCAAAAAAAGTATTCCACTCTCAAGCAATAAAATTGCTATTTCAAATGTCAGATTGGAGATCGTAGAAAGGTGGTCACCTGCGCGTTCATGTATTTGAGGAAGAAATCCAGCAGAAAGGATTTTCCCTTGCGGAAGGCGCCGGCCACGGAGACGACCACCACATGCCGGTCTTTGACATGGTCCTGCATCAAAATGTCCTCAAGGGCCTGCTTGTTCAGCTCGAAAGTGTGGTCCTTCTTAGCCAGCACCACCTGCACAGCTTTGGCAACGCCCTGAGCACCTTCCTTGGCCTCCGACTCTTCCATCTTTCCTGCAAAATGCAAAATCTGCATGTCAGCACAGTCAGGTGGCAGGCAAAACAGGGAGTTCACATGTTGGTATGTATGTAATATGTTGTCTCCAGAAAAAAAAACAGAGGTTTTTTACGGCTTAAAAATACATAAATGCAATTATCCAATAATTTTATCACAGCAGGATGACAAAATCTCGATATGAAAAAATAAAACACATAGTTTTCTCAGCTTGCTTCTTTTCAGCAATTTATTATGCAATAAAAATTAATCCTAGAACAATAATCCTCCTGAGATTTGATTCACGAATAAATGATTTTGATCGAATTGCATTAAAAAACCAATATAATATCTAAATTTGACTGATTCCTTAAAGACGAAGACAGTAGGAAGCAAGGCAGAGAGATGAGACACTCCAACAAGATGCAACCAACAGAAATTAAGACAAATTCCGCGAACGCAACACGGGTTTGGAAGAGAGAATTATTGAATAAAATAACAAAAAATTAACTCACGCAACTTGAGTAGAATTTTTCTTCTTTTTTCAGCTCCGCTCTTCTCTTCGGTCGAAATTTGGGTGCACTTGCGAATTCACGATGACCTAGCAAACTCCTTGCCTAGCAATAATAAACAACATGGCGGATGGCGGTGGCGCTGGAGGCTCCGACAGCAGTGACACATACGGTCGAAATTGAAACGATAAAATTACACCAAGGGCAGTTTTACAAAATATTTCACAAATAAAAGCGCGCTGAAGATTTATTTATGATATTATTTGAGGTGAATTTAATACATATTTCATAATTTTCTTCTTCAAATCACTTCAAATATTCACTTATTAAAGAATTAAGAGTATTTCTTAGGTAAAAATTGAAAATAAATTATAATTATTACATAAAAACATCAAACATAACAAAAATTTTCAATAATATTAAGCTACATATATATTAGTTAATTAATTATAAATTTTAAAAATGGAACAAAATAATACCATCAAATATTTGTAAATTATTAAATCATTTAACATGCTGTATTTCATTACATTTTTATTTTACTGAACAAATTTTATAAACTGTTCAATGAGTGGAAATTTTCTAAATTTGAACAGATATTGCAGCTTAAGATAATGTAACAAAATATTTATTGTATCATTTTACATGCCGCCACATGCCGCATTTCACTATTTTTCTGAGCAAAGTTTTCATCTGTTAAATCTATAAATTTTGTTAAATTTAACAGATATTTCAAATATACAGCTAGCTTTGATTGAAAAGTACAATTCTTCTGTTTTAGCAACCGAATGTCTGCGGTCATCACCGCGCATTTGTGAGTGCTAAAACGGCTTTGGCAAGAAGTAGTCAAAGGACGGCGTCCTCTGCGAGTGTCCACTACTAGACTTCTAGGAAGACTGTTGCCTGGATTAAGTGGCCCGCACCAAAGTGGGGGCAGCGTGGATAGCACGGGCATATAAAAAAAGAGTAAAAAGGGGTCGGTCCTCAAAAAGGCGCCTGTCTTCAAACCCCCCTCAAGTGTGGTGGCGCCAGTGGCAATGCAAAATGGGCGGTTGCCGGTGCTGGCAAGACGACGCCGCCCTTCAAGTAGCGCAAGCTGGACTCGACGCCAATTGATTGAAATATAAATTGTCATATTTTTTTTCACGAAATTTTCATTTTATAATATTAAATTAAATATCATCTTCCAAGTAATACGTAAAATCAATTGAAACCCCAAAAAGACCCTGGGTTGAACCCTCTGCAATTAGGGAGCCAGAAAACTCAATCAAAATAATAAAAATACAATATAATTTGTGCTAATTTAAAAACGGGCGTGGTTTAATTTGTATCAGAAAGGCCAAACACTCCAGCGCTTTGCCTTACTCTCAACTATCTGGGTCTTCTCAATATCGCTGGCGGCTGACACTGTCGACTCTGCAGAAATGCTCTCGTCAAGGGCCTGTGCCTCTAAACTTTTCACAGACTCTTCCCAAAGATCACAATCTTCTTCCCTGACTTGGATGATCTTTTCTCTCTCCTGTAGATGGCGCTTCCTCTTCCGGATCTGTCCAGCCACAGACCTGTTGTTGTGGTCGGTGGCGCGCAACTCTTGCATCAAAGTCTCATTCTCCTCGCGCTTCACGTCAAAGTTGTCTAGTACTTCTCCTCGGTGGTCTACCTTCTTCACGGCAATCTCCAGCTGTTCAGTCAACTGCAGAAGAGACTCTTTCCTTTTCTTATCTTCGTCAAGGCAAGGGAGCCGAGTTCTCCCTTGGCTAAACAGCTTGCGCGACTTCAGAAGCAAACTGGTCAGGTCTGAAATTTTAAAGCAAAATGTTTAAAGGTCCTCTTCAGTGATGATTTCTATGCCTGAATTCTGAAGTGGACAAATTTCATTAGACTAAAATCGAAATTGTGAATTTTTTCAAATGAATGTTGGATTTTTAATTATTTTGATCGAGCGATTCGGATTTAATTCAAGTTATTTTGCATAATTTTGATATTAATAATAAAATAATCTCACGAATGTTTACCTTCGCCAGGGGAGACATCAGCTCCATTCAAATACAAGAAAGAAAAAAGAGCGTCGAACGGCAGTCCTTCGAAAAATCCTCCAGCCAGACAGACTTGCAGGCTGGGGCTGAACCCGCATACTTTGGATGGACCCTCGTTTTTCTCTGGACTGAAGACTTCGATCTTCGTGCACCTCTGTGCCATCTGGACAATTTTGTCTACCTTTGCCATGTGAGCTGAGGTAGGAAAAGAGATTATTCTAATTAGCACCTTCTTTACATTCTTTCAACGTTCGATCATTTTCAAATAAAGGACTAAAGGATATAACAAAAATATGCATCTTTATCTATGCAAGTAGGAACTTAAAAAGTATAATCGGTATAATACGTTTTGAAACATACAATAAAATTAAAAAAAAAAAACCTACGCTCGTTGTAATTGAAAGTAGCTCCGTTTTCAAATAGCATCTCATTAAGCAGGTGCCGTTCGAACATGGCGATCTCATCAGGGTCAGCACGCCGTATCGCATCCATCTCTCGCTGAGTGGCAAATTTAGGCAACAAAAACACTATCTCAGGATTCATTTCTAGAATTTGGCTTGATGAATTTGGGAGAGAAAAATGAAAATTCTTGACTCTAAAAATCTTTGCAAACAACAATGAATCTATTTAAATTGAAATTTCAACTCTAATTGTTGCCGATAAACGTTTGTTTCAAACACAACAATGGATGCTAAACGCCATTTTTAAGTAAATTAAAAATTATTCGACAATTTTTAAATTCTTTTCAGTATTAGGTGACTAAATGTTGGTTGTAAAATAGTTAGAACAAATTTTTGGAAATTTCTACGACAAATAAGCGCCTACAAAAACGAACGTAGGCAACCCGCTGCTCTCAGACGCGCGGCAGGTTGCCATTGTATTTGAGATACGAGGCTCAAAGACGCAATTAACATAATGATAATAATAAAAAATTTACGTTTGAAATAATCAGAATAATATTTAGGTCGTAATTATATAACTTGCATCTAATTCATTGAAAAAAGGCTTCAATGATTTTATCAGCTGCAATTTTGTAAAAAAGAATTCCAAATAAACATCAAGAACGAATTAGTGGCACATTTGCCATTGTTATTACTAAATTATCACTTCAAAAGTCTTAACCTGTAATTCCAGAAATAACTCCATCGAATTTGTAATCAAACTGCAAGTTTAAAAAAAGCCGGTACATACATGCAAGCTCACAGCAAGGCTGCATTGCCTCCAAGAAACTAATAAATTTCTTTGTTAATTTAGTTTCTAGTGAAAACATTTTCATTGCGGTCCAAGTCTCATTTGGATAACTGAAGGAGAAAAATCTGCTGTTTGTCGTACGAAATTGATTTGGGTTTTAAATTAAAGTGAAAGAAATTACTGAATAAATAATTATTATTACTACTTAGATAGAAAGGCACCTTGTTTTTTTTTTTTTTTTTTTGATTTTGTAAACATTTGAAAAAGAACCATCTGAAAAAAAAAATATATCTTGTCTAATTATTCTGCTTCATTTAAAAGAATGATGATCTAAAGCAGCATTTTTTTCCCACAAAACATCAGAATAGGACAAATAAAGTGCTTGTATCATTTTAGTATTTACCAAAAAGTCAAATATTGCTACCTCTTACACTATAAAAGTTTTTATTTTCATAAAGTTTGATAGGGCTAAAATTGGCAAGCATATTTACCAGGCACAGCTTAAAGAACAATTTATTCATTACAAGAGGGATTCAGTTATAGTTTGGTGGTTGCCTTAGTCGTTGCGTCCTTCAAATTTACAACTAAGTCTAGCTATTTGTATTGAAATTTATGGCCCAAAATAAATAATGCTTGAATATGATTTACAAACACATAAATATAATAACAAGATCCACTCCTTACTAGTTGTCCAGATTGGCCATCTTTTTGGGGCACTCGTCCGAATCAAAGTCAGGGTTCCTTCTTCTGCGCCAACTAGTTTTCATTGTTTGTAGCCGCCAGTTTCTTTTCTCTTTCAGCCTGAGTTTCTTCCGAAGCGACTTGTTCTTGGAGGCACGTGTGGATAGCTGTGGTTGCTGGGTCCTCTTTGTACTGTGTCATATCAAAATCTGTTTTGACGTATGCAGTGCAGCCAGCTGTAAGAATCAAAAGTTGTTACAACAAGTAATGAAAATAAGTGGTCATTATTTTTTTTTTTAAAAAGGACCCACTTTTGGCATGGGGTCGGCGGATCTTGTTGAAAATTGGTAGTTTGGTTTCGCTTAGGGAGTAGACAAATAGTTTAGAAGGATTTTTGAAAAATCTCAAAATTACCTATTTTACAGACGCCCTAACACTTTGACACGGTGACCAAGGTCATAGGTCAAAGTTCAGGGTCAACTTTTTGAGCTTGAATTTTTTGATACGCCACCAAAGTACCTAGTACATAAATTTTTTTGATACCATAATAGCCAAACGTTGCTCTAGTTGGTAATCAACAACATATTAAAAATTGGTGAGACTGTTTTTTTTTCGTTTTCAAGATATTTCGGGTCGAATGGCAAAAAACGTGGTTTTCCGAGCATTGTCCAACACAAACCAACATTTAACCGCCCGTAATTTTGTTCCTGTTAAGGTTACGCAAACATTTGTAATGACAAAATGATCGCCATTACTTTTACTTTTGAACTATGTATTGCATATGGTGGCCTGGTCACAAAAGGTCATTGACCTCGATGACCTGTGACCTTTACTTAAGTTTAAAACACAATGTCAGATGCTTAAATATTTTAAATAATGTTTCCTTTCTATTAATGTGTTAAAATGTACAAAAATATTTTGGGAAGGTCACAGGTCACCGAGGTCAATGACCTTTTGTGACTTGACCACTATGTGCAATACATGGTTTGAAAGTACAAGTCACGGCGATCATTTTTTGTCATTACACATTTTGCGTAACCTTAACAGGAACAAAGATACGGGCGGTTAAATGTTGGTTTGTGTTGGACAATGCTCGGAAAACCACGTTTTTTGCCATTCGACCCCAAATATCTCGAAAACGAAAAAAAAACAGTCTCACCAATTTTTGATATGTTGTTGACTACCAACTAGAGCAACGTTTGGCTATTATGGTATCAAAAAATTTTATGCACTAGGTACTTTGGTGGCGTATCAAAAAATTCAAGCTCAAAAAGTTGACCCTGAACTTTGACCTATGACCTTGGTCACCGTGTCAAAGTGTTAGGCCGGCTAATTCCCTACAACTTAGCTTATTTCACACATGCGCTATCTTCAACAGGAGCAGAGATATTTTTTATTTTCGAAAACACCTTTTTTTTAAATCCCCAAACTTTAAGCCCCTGTAAAATAGGCAATTTTGAGATTTTTCAAAAATCCTTCATAACTATTTGTATACACCCTAAGCGCAACCAAACTACAAATTTTCAACAAGGTCCGCTGACCCCATGCCAAAAGTAGGTCCCTTTAAAAAAAAAATAGTGCTAAGTGATATTTTATACCTCTTTGATATTTAGTGCACCTGAAGACCTTCAGATAATTTATTTTAGGGTCGTTTGGATCCAATATATTGTTGTGGTATAGGAACGAGTGCCCAGCATACGTAGGCTGGTAACTGTAGTTCCTGTTGAGCTCACAAATCACAGGCCATTTGTACAACTCCGGCCTCATCTTGGTGGATCTGAAATTCAAAATCCCATTTCAGTTGTGTCTCTTTTTTCACATGATGGAGAGGTGTCTTTGAACATTTTACTACTTTCAACTGCTGCGATATTATTTGCAAGCTATGGGAATGTCAAAAGAAAATATTAAAAAATTTTTCTTTATCTTAAGATCAATTTTAAAGTTTTCAGACTTTTATTTTTAAAAATTTAATTCATTTACATTGTTTTGGAGGATTAACCATCGATTTCACTTTTCTTTGCTGCGGCGGGCAATTCTGAGGGAGGAAGTTCCAACAACTTAATTTCAAGTTCCTTTTTTACCAAACGGCTGACGGGATTCAATGCATTTTGATGAAATATATTTTTTACCATTTTAATTTATCATTAAACTTTTCCCCTCAAATGTAATGGTTTCAGTGGCTGCAGACTCTATGAAGTGATTTATGTAGCTCTGATCTAATTTAAAATTTCAATGACTTTCGAAAAAGGTCAAAACTAATTTCGGTGACCTCAGAATAGTAATAATCATCAATTAAGTCATTCAATTTATTTACCACGAGTGCGAGAGGTCTGCATTCTAACAATAAAAAAAATATTTAGGGACTTTCACAAAAAGCTAATTTGCAACCAGCAAACCTAACTCCGAAGAAAGACTTTCGCTTGGTGCGCTAATTCCGGCTCATCAGGTCATCTGTTTTATTGGATGGCCGATTATTGCTCTTCGCATGCATTTCTAACAAGTAATGGCTTTGAGATGAGACACCCCGGTTTTGATGAAAGTTGGTGTCAGGAACGCCAGGAAAACAAACGCCTGTGCGAATTTCGTCACTCGTGAAAACGGAGGAGGAAAAGTTGAAAATTCGCATAGAGGAGCCGAGGAAGTAATAAAACTGCGCATATTTTGACCGCGGATTTGTTGAAAAATACAAATTTTAATGGCAGTCGGTATATTATCTTTTAAGATTCTGCAAATAAATAATAGAAAAAAAAACAAGGCAAATCTGACGCAACCTGTAAGGCTTGCAGCGCCGCCGATCACCGCTTTGACGCGGGTTGCTGCCTTACAAATTTACTCAAAATTCCATTGGAGCAAAATAAACGTGGCTTATTGATTAATAATTTTAAAATCTTATTAGCGCGCCATTTCACCAATCACCATGCTCAAAAAGTTCTGCACTATAAGTTATAAATTGCGACTCGTGATTCCAAATTTTCAAGGTTTTGGCGTTCAGACGAGAATGAAATCATATTTGTACTTAAATGCTTAAAAAATTATATGCCTTATCAATTTTTGCCTGAAGAAAGAATGCCTATGATGAATTGTACCTATGTAAGAAGGACTCAAGAGTTAAAATTTCTTGCTGAAATATTTTATGCTTATATGTCACACATGTTGGAATTGACGGAATAAAATTCAAACATACATTTCAACTTTTGGAAATGAGGAACCAGCCATATTAGGCAATTCAGTAAGGTCGAGTCTACGCAAGTCAGAATCATCAATGACTGAATTAACACGCATATATTTCAAACTGGTGGAAGACAGAATCACTCATGGCTCCATTTTTCAGCTGGTTGATAATAATTTCTTTTGTTCGGTCTTACCGCTAGTACGACCTAGTAATATTTTTATCTCTCCGACTTCAGAGATGGGTCGACCATTCTGCACAGCCATGAGATGTATGCAAGTGCAAGCAGAATTTAAGTTTTTATTAGAAGAATTTTAATTGAAAGTTGCTATTTATTTAGTCTTTCAATGAAAAAAAAAGTTAAAAAAAATACAAACTGACAGGTGGTTTTTTTTTTTTTTAATTTTGAACAAGTCTCATTACAAATGAAGTTTAATTTTTATCTTAATTGGTTTTCGAAACTATTCCTTTAGGCACAATTTCTTTTGTGCCGTTTGGAACTGTCCTCGTTAGGCACTGTTCTTTGGTTATATTTGGCTCTGTTCTTTAGGCCCTATTCAAAAAGTGGAATTAGGCCCTAGGCTGCGCTTGCGGCACCAATTGGGGTGCATGGCACACATTCATCCCCATTCTCAAAACAAAAACAAGCCCTGCGAATTACAGAAAACGCGAGGTATTGTCTCAAATTAGAAAAATACTTTCCATTAATATACACTAAAAGTAATCGGAAAAAGAGTGAACCCAATTCACATAAATTTAATTCAACATCTAGGGATTTGAATGAACAAACACCATTGTGGGTGTACAGCAGCGGCTGAGTCTCTTTTGATATCGAACCTTGAAGCAGACATCTGCTATTTGTAAACTCTCTCTCCTCTTTTTCAAATTGCATTTTTTTTATCGACCGAGATGAATAAATAATAATATAGTTAAAAAAAAAGATAAAATTACCGCGGAAAATGTCAAATTAAGTGTAGGAAATCTTCAAATATTGAGAAAATCAGATTTAGAAATAAAATGTTCTCCTTTCCCCTTCATTTATTGGAATCAAGCTTATGTTTTTTGTCCTGCACGTGCAAGCAAAAGCAATAAGAAGGCTGAAGTCAAGAAAAATCAAATTGCAGATTAAAAAAGTGGAAGGACTGCATGAAATTTGATCGCATTGACTCGGAAGGTTCCAATTGATATCGGCTTTAAAATTTAAGGTGTGGCACAGCGTAACCAAGTTATACAATAAATTGATCAACACAATACTTTTACAAGAGGAAGAAACTTGACCTTGGCATTGCAATTTTAATAGCACTCTTTCGCAATTATTTCCCGGCGTGATTCCCCGCAGTGAATGAAAACTTGTATGGTGAAACAGGAAATTTGGGCAGCAGCTTTAGAGGCGGCGGGAAATTATCTCAAATTATGTAAAACTAAAATCATCTGCGGAGCTTTCGGCTCAATTCCTAGTTAAGGTTTTAAATGGAGTTCTTTGGACCCATTGGGACCTACAAACTGGGCGAGATAACCAAAAACCCAAAAAGAGCTTTTTAGTTAGGAGAGGATTACATAATCTTAAAGCCTTGCGCAACAAGACATTGTAAAGCAAGAATTAAAAATACGAGTGGACCGCCTTTCATCCGAAAGGAATTTGTCCGAAAATTTGGAAATAGTCCGAAAAAAATCGGAATTCATCCGAAAGGAAATAGGCCGAAAATGCCTTTTCGGACTTCATCCGAGTAATCCGTCACTGGGGAATTGAATAAATTTTTGATATTTTCATATGTTCTTTTATTAATGTGATTAGAAAAGTATAAATTCTGTTACATCTGATAAATATGTGGCATAAAAATGGTACTATATAAGATTCTTTTTAAATTATTGCATTGAGCTTGATGTTGGCAAAGTTTTAGTTGGATAATTAAAATTTATTTATTTTATAAAAATGCCTTAGAAATGCCAGTTTCCTTAGGAATGACATACTGAAAATTGAAAATTTCCACGTGTAACTTGTGTCCCAATATATGCTGAGAAAAATGTGTCACGTGACGTGCGCTTGTGTCGCTTTGTCCGGTAAATTGTGTCTGCTGTAACTTGTTGCAGCATCACAAAACCACACAGTTTTTCCAAACTTTTTGCCAGGTATAAGAAGTGCCATTTCCGTTTATCTCGGCATTAAACTTGTTTATGTTCAAACTCCTAATACAGTTGATTGATAAAAAAAAAAACGGTATACAATTTTCATAGCCGGTTTTCGGATTAATTCCGATTTTTTTCGGCCTATTTCCTTTCGGATGAATTCCGATTTTTTTCGGACTAATTCCAAATTTTCGGATAAAGTCCAAAAAGGCACTTTCGGACTAATTCATTTCGGACCAAGTCTGGCGACCCAAAATACGGCTTAAGTTGCAGCGATCCAATAGATTCATGTCTTTTCCTCATCAATGTAATTTAAACCGCGGTGAAATTGTAGATATAATCTTGTACAATAATTTACATTTAAAAGTACTTACTCATCAACAGTAGTGTCCCTTGGAGAATCTGGCAGTTCAGTTGCACTTGCGTTGGGCACTGTAACAAAAATCCATTACATCACTGCCAAGAAAATCACAGCATTATTTTTTGTTGATGTGTAAGGAAGCAATATTTCACTATAAAAAAATTAATATTATACTGTCCAGCATTCAAAAATTAAATATATCGCTGGTATATTTGTTGTTGACTTTCGTTGACCGAATGCATTCGGCTCAGAAACGCTTGGTCCAAATGCATTCAGTTTTTACAAGAAACGATTTACATTTCATTAACAAAGTGCGTTCAGTGCAAAAGCTTAGACCTTAGACCAAAAGCGTTAGGCCAACAAAATATGCTACTTTTTGGGTTAAATTTTGCAGAATTTTATTTCCTGAGGCCTGAGGCACAGAGAGGACGCAGAGCTCCAGCGCGCGTCAAAGCAAAACCACTCTGTTGTTCTGCGCGAATTTTTCTATTGAATTATATAACAAAATTAATAACCTGTTAGAAATGCCTTAGTATTAGAACCAGGAAAGTTGCTAGCTTGAATTACCAAGGAAAATTGCAACTTTCAACTTAATACAATTATGTCTACCAAGGAAAAATCTGCTAATTTGAATGTGTGATCCACAGGCCATTGTGCAGTTAAACCGATTTCGCCCCACGGTTGGATCATACTTTGGGTTGAGTGACACCATGATCAATGCCACCACCAAGAATGGGTAGCGCGCACTTTTCGCTCTGCCGCGCTCATGCAGAAAGCGATCAACCTTTCAAGAGCGTTTATCTGGTTAATTATTTTCCTGCTTAGGACAGTGGATAAAATACTCAATTTTTTCTCATTATATTGAGAAAACATCACAACAGAATCCAAGAGTTCTGGCGTATAAAGGTTTAATAGACCGTAAATGAGGTGCAGCCACACAAAACGCACACAAATTAGCACTTCAAATTGAGTCTTTTGAGTTGGAAGAAAGATGGAAGCGAAAATTTTCCCAAATTGATCGATCGTTGGTTTTTCCCGTTCATCACTCTCACAACAACAAACACCTCTCAGCAAGAAGCAAGTTTTTATGTAGCAATTATCAAAAATCCACAGCCTTTGCTATGACTTAATATCTTCAACAGGCAGGATTTTTGAACTGGAATTTGATATTAACTTTCCGTGGAAAAAAATCAAATTTTTAGTAAATATTAGAAAACATTAAAATTTCATGGGACGGGATTTTTATTTAATTTAAAAGCTTATAACTTATAAAATTGAATAGAAGAGTGTACTTTGCACCCCAGTTGTATGCAAAATCCTTTGTTTTTTTAAATTGAATAGTGTTAAATCATGCGAAGGATGACCGCAGCCCAAACAAAGGCAATGAAATACAGTCCATTAAAAATTGCGTCACAATGGTCTCAAATATTGTGGACTTCATTAGAATTCAGTTGGAGTTTTTAATGATTGAAGTTCAAGCTTTGAATGAACAAATTCTAGTCACGGCGGTTGAGGACACGCATATTTCATATAAAGCGCTCATTAACCACAGTTGATAATCGTCTCTTCCAAAGTTTGATGTAGAATCTTTTTAAAGGAGTGCTGACCCCTCGCTTTGACTTTAATTCCTGATTCAATTAAGGGTCCTGATTAAAACCTGAAAAGGGCGGCCGAAAATTCGGCGTTTTCGTTGAGAAATCTCAAAATGAAATTGGGCTGATTGGACTTTTTTGCGCTTGGTCGCCATCTTGGTCCAACAATCGAAAATGTGAAATTGTTGTTTGCAATTTGGATGGCCGTGACCTGAGCCACGTTAGGTCAAGAAAATACCATGAAAAATAATTGAAAATGAATAAAATTTTGTGAAATCAAAGCTAAAGAGTTGCTTGAAATGACCCTTTAATTGAAATTATTAAATTATTTAGCACACATGAGATATAAAAGGGTTTGCTAAAAGTGCTGCCATTTGAAAACTAATTTTTTTAGAAGAAAAAACTTATTGGGAAATTTGTAGCCAATAAAACGCTCATTCTTTTTGTAACAGTACAAAGTACTGCACGAATTTTTCTTATTTAAGAAAAAATGAAAAATCCAAATAAAATTACATTTTAGGTTAAAGGGAATTTTTTAATATTTTTTTCGAAATAGCCAATCGATTCAACATGTCTTTTTTAGTCAAGATCTAAATTTTCGCTAATAAATTCAAGACAGTTAAAAAGTAACATCAAAAAATTTCAAACGGGTCTTGCCCTGTTTTAAGATGAGAGAGTTGTCATTGAATATTTTGATGTTACTTTTTAACAGTCTTGAATTTATTAGCGAAAATTTAGATCTTGACTAAAAAAGACATGCTGAATCGATTGGCTATTTCGAAAAAAATATTAAAAAATTCCCTTTAACCTAAAATGTAATTTTATTTGGATTTTTCATTTTTTCTTAAATAAGAAAAATTCGTGCAGTACTTTGTACTGTTACAAAAAGAATGAGCGTTTTATTGGCTACAAATTTCCCAATAAGTTTTTTCTTCTAAAAAAATTAGTTTTCAAATGGCAGCACTTTTAGCAAACCCTTTTATATCTCATGTGTGCTAAATAATTTAATAATTTCAATTAAAGGGTCATTTCAAGCAACTCTTTAGCTTTGATTTCACAAAATTTTATTCATTTTCAATTATTTTTCATGGTATTTTCTTGACCTAACGTGGCTCAGGTCACGGCCATCCAAATTGCAAACAACAATTTCACATTTTCGATTGTTGGACCAAGATGGCGACCAAGCGCAAAAAAAGTCCAATCAGCCCAATTTCATTTTGAGATTTCTCAACGAAAACGCCGAATTTTCGGCCGCCCTTTTCAGGTTTTAATCAGGACCCTTAATTGAATCAGGAATTAAAGTCAAAGCGAGGGGTCAGCACTCCTTTAAGGCAAAATTATCTGCTCTCGCACCGCCACGCACTTTACATCGTAGTTTTGTGCATTCTCGCGTAGATTTTTGTTTTCTAAATCAATAAATTTTGAGAGAAATTTTTTTTATGCATTTAATAAGAAAACGGTTAAAATATATGTATAATATAGTTCAAGGTAAGTTTGATAGTGTGAAATAAAATGCTAGAGAAGTGAGAAGCTGCAAGGTGACGACAAAAATGACACTGCCACCTCCAGCCGCGACCAAAAGAAGTTAATTCCGTGTGTCTTTTCATTCAGGGGTCGTCAAGCCCTGGAATGACTCGACACCTTTCCTCAAAGACTGCTCAACGAGCAATTTCCCCGCCCTTTGCAGCAATTTTAAAATGATTGAAATTTGTTCCTTTTTATAGTGTGGCTCAGTGTGGCTGTATTTCTTTTGTTGTTATAGGTGTTTTAGACTAAAACATTTGGCAGCCCCCCTCCTAGTTGTGATTCTCTCTCTGCTCTCATTTTTTTCTTTTCAACTTTTTGTTCATATTGACTCGAGTAGAATCAACAGTATAAACAAAAGTTTAATTGAACGCTTCATTGTTATATTTGTTATTTTAAATTCGCGACAAAGATTAATAATAAATGCACTTCATTAGGGCATCAGAGCTGGGTTTTAAGACCTGGCTCCGGAGCCAGTGGAATAACGCTGTTGGCTTCTGAATTATGACGACGCGCTAACCTGCAGTTCCATGCGAAAGAAGAAACTGCAAGTGTGCTGGTGATCAACACGCATCAAGGTAGAAATAAATTATCATGTTTTGAACTGCATTCGAATGCGAGTTGTTCTTCGAGAGCTTTTGCCATGGGTGGAAAATAGCTGGAAAAGGAAAAGCCAAAGAGCCTGAAGAAGTCTGATCCGTAGTTTAACTGAGAAATTTAAAAGTGATGTTTTGGTAGTATTGCTACATAAGCAAATAAGTTGTCAATAATCCCCTTTTCCTAAGAATAATGCAATAATTATTAATCATTCATCATAAAAAAATCATAGTTAATATTTGAAGTTCTTAATTATTATTCATGCAATGTTTCACAATTATAATTATTGAATTTGTGGAATTTTATTTAATTTGAGAGATGTACTTAATGGTTTTTAAAAAACATTGAAACAATTAAAATTATAAATGCATTATAAATATGAGCACAGATTGATTAAGAGGGGAAATAATATTCAATTGTTAATATAGTACAAAAAAAAAAATGTTATTTTTAAAATTCTTAGATATAAAATGTAAATGACAATTTCTTTGATGTGTGTAGGTCCTATTTGAAAAATCGAAATTAATATCCTAGCAATCATTGTAAGAATTAAATTAATAAATTACGAATAATTAATATGCAAATAGGTCTCACTCGTTGTTAAAAGTTTTAAATGGCTAGTCATAGTGTAACCCTTTCTTCTTCTTTTTCCAATTTAAAATTTCTGTATTGACCAAGAACCCCAGAAGAATAAATAATCATAATAATAACGGTCGATTATTCATTTCATGAGCGTTCAGTCGCAAGGTGACGGCTCAATACAGTAGTAGGCAACCCGCGCGACATCGGCTCTCGCAGGTTGCGGCGTTATTTCTTTTGGAGATTGCAGATGCAGAATACAAGAGAGCCAAAAAGTCAGCCAGATTTGGGAATCGGCAGGAGGCTCCGGCGCCCCTAAAATTTTCAACGATACTGTGCCTATAAAATGTCAATACACTCGCTACGGAATAATAAAATCTTTATTAAACGCATCATGGCTTGTGCGTTACTCGTTACTACGAAAAATTAAAATAAAAAGAACATCACAATCCTCATACATGCCCAGAGCAAACGCAAACGCGTGCTTCAGAAATTTTTTGCCGACCTAATATAATAACATTTCAAAGCCGTATTTCCGTTAAACATAAATTGAAGACCGTTCTCACGAGTTTGATTTAAAAGGATTGTACAGATTTTTAATGATGCTGCTTCCACTCTGATTTTCAGATGTGTTATTATTAAGTCCACTAGGATTTTTTACCATAGTAAAAAACCAAGAATTTTTCTGAAAATAACTAGTTATACTGTATTGTGTAAAATGTAATTAATTTTTTATTTTATATAATTATTGAACTTTAAAATAGTATTAATTAAATTTGGAATGCAAGTCATCATGGCTAATCAGATGAAAAATATCCATTGTTGCGTTTGTAATAATCGTTAAAACCGTTTTTCAGCAACATACAACTTCTAAATCATTGGAAATTTGATTTAAAATAGATTCATTGTTGTTAGCAAAGAATTTTTTGAATAGTCGTTGGTTTTGTCTTTCGTAAATTCATCAAGTTAAAATGGCTTCCGCGACCGTTGCAGATGGCAAAAAGAAGGAAAGCCCTGATGAGTTACTCGAGCAGTTGAAGGAACTGATCCAGAAGATCGTGGACAGAGAAGAGGAGAACGAGATTGTTTCATTAATACGAGAAGAAGAGGAGAAAGCGAAGGAGGCGATGCGCGTAATGGACCAAAACAACAGGTCCTTGGCCGAACACCACCTCGAGATCACGCGGCGTTTGGATGACAAGGAGCAGGAGCTGAATGAACGGGAGAGAAAATTGGCCGAGCGAGAGGAGAGGAAAAGGCGATGGGAAGCCGCGAAGACCATTGAGAAGAGTGAGAGCACTGCCGCGAAGCGTTGGAGATTTTGGCCATTCTGATTTAAAATTAAACAACTTCCGTGTCTAAATCAGCAAAAATTATATTGCATTTGAATTAATTCTCGATTGAGACTTCTAACTCCCTCGGTTCAGGGTTCAGAAATTCTACCACCTGGTCGTTTTTGGGGTTTCTTCGTGGAATATCCAGCCATTTCTTGGTAATTTGATACATTTGATATTTAAATAGCAAAATCCAAATTTTTAATAATTAAATTTACTAAAAAAATGTGGGTGTGAATGGCCTTGGGCATGAAAGGTGTAATATATCTATCGATTATAAATTTTACATTAATTTATATGAGCTATAATTAATTTAATGGACTATTTTGTGATGAAATTTTACCACTGGTTATCAAAGTCGCATCTGTTTGCAAGAGTTGCAGCATGAAAATTCTCCTTCGAAAGAAGGAGAAGTATTGAAAGGAGTAATTAAGTGCTGAGCTCTTCGACGCCAGCAAGATTTGATAAACTTTATAGCATGCAGAAGCATAACAAATGGTATTGTTATATGGATGCTGGCTGACCTGCGGTCCCCCAGCTTTCCCTTACTTTATGAAGGGTGCCTTTGAGGAAAGGCTACTGCAGCAGCAGTGGCCGCACCGAACCTTCTTTCTCTCTCCCCTTTTGCTTGTTAATCTCTATAGGCACGCTCGACCATTCGGTGCTGCTTGTTGCAAAAGCAGGTGTACCTTTCTTTGAATGTTGGCCCAGAGTGTAGGAAAGCAAACGCCTGGACCAAAATAGTAGAAAATGTGTGCAAGATATAGGGTGGTAAAGAAAAACCCTGAGAATGCATACTCTCCCCCTCCTTTGAGCCCCGAGAAAACTAAATAAGCAAGGAAAAGGTTAGATAGAGGGCAGCCAATGGAATTGTGTCCCTGATCGGACGGACTGGCCACCTCGGAAAGCATCTCGAAGCCTCCGGGACCTTTGAGAAGCAACACGGAGCGGAAGCGGTGCGGGCGGTTGGCGAGATTATTTTGATTGGTTTTTGATTCGAGTTTCATACTTGATCAAATCAATTAATATTTGAAAGTCCTAGCTGATGAGAGCAAAAGCTCGAAACAGCAGCTGTCCTAGGATGTCATTTATTAATGTGATATCTAATTAATTCCTTGCTCCCGAATAAATTTCTTTTCAGGTGAAATCAAGGTAAGAAATCAGCCATTCAAATTATAATATATAATTTAAGATATTCGTGGTGGTGCTCCCAGTTCATTCCTTTAACCAGAGAATAAATTATTTCAATTGATTTGCATTAAAAGTTGAATTAATTAGTTTAATTAGAGAGTCATTTAAAAAGGAGCATTATAAAGCATTGAGGGGTTGCAATTTTTTTCTGCTCTGAACACATATATTCTGTCACCTTAAATTTTTATGTCGTGATTTTTTGCTCTCGGGCGACTCGATTTCCTTGAATGCCCTGCGATCGTAAATGCTGGTGAGCTTGCGAGCGAGCAAACCACATCAGCGCGCCCATTGAATCGAACTTTACAGCGCAATATTTCACATCGAGTCACATGCAAATATGAGACCGGCGGGCTGCCTGCCTCATAAATCCAGGGGGCACTAAAGCGAGTGCGCGCGCGGATGGCCTTCCGGTGCACAATTCGCGTAAATCAGACCCACCGACGCACGCTTTTTGCCCCCTCGAACCAACGGTGTCATGCATGTGGGGCACCTAAAAGGGTTGAGACTGTGAATAGCAAAACTATATTCAACCTCGCATCTATACTTAACCTGGGACAATTCAACAGATATCATAGTGCTTACGGGAAAATAAATTGTTACATAATAATAATTGCGGGTACAGAGTACCAAAGGCGTTGGGGAAATCTAATAAAATATATTATTAATTTTTTCACAAGTATCAGTTGAATTATGAACTTATTGTGCCAAATCAAATGGAGCGGTTACTGTGCTCTAATACTTCTGGAAGCCGTGTTGTTCATGTTAAATTATACTATTTTGCGAAAAATGGCCCTCTAATCTGTTTATAAATAATGAAAAGTGAGAAGATTATAATTGAAAAAGAATAGTTAAATTGTTTTACATTATTCGTGGAGCGCTTGTAATATTATATCAACGTTATATTCTGTCAAAGAAATAGAATTTCTTCCAGCCAAAACTTATCTAGGCAGCAGAATTCAGAATTTTGGCAACTCTGCCTCGTTGATGGTCGCTTTTTCTTGGAATTCTCTTGGCCGTGGGAAGAGACTTGATCTTTTTCTGGTGCTCGGCGTGCGTACACCAGGGGAGTTTGTAAGAATCGTCGGCCGGCACAAGAACGTATGAAGTTAACTTGCAATTTGCAATCATCATAAATATAAATAAATCTTATTTGAAATTAAGAATTTGTTTGCATTCTTACACAATTACATATTGAAATTTATAGATTCGTTGGACACCGAAGCTTAACACCTCAATATTGTGGGACATTTCCAGAGGCAGTTGAAAATTTCCTTCAACTTCAAATTCTTTTTGAGATTTTAGAATACAAAGTGTGCCAAAAGTCGGCCAGATTTGGGAATCGGCTGGAGGCTCCGGCGCCCCTATTATATATATAATTTTTAACGACACCTTTCCTATAAAATGTCAATATATTCGCTACGGAATAATAGATTCTTTCGCATTTATAAACGCATCAACGCTTGTGCGTTACTATGAAAAATTACAATTAAAACAAAAGAAGCATCACAACCCTCAAGCATGCCCTGCAGCATAAGAAAACGCGTGCATAAGGAATTTTTTGTCGACCTATTAAATGATATTTAAAAGCAGTATTTCGGTAGAACAAAAATTGAGGACCGTTAACGAGGAGGTGATCATGGAAATGAATGAATCGGGCTTTTTCCTCGTTGCAGAAATTGTTTTTTATTCAAAAACAAATTGGCTCTACCAGTTTCGGTCACGGTCTGCGACCCTATTTCATGAGCATTGTATTAGCTAGTCAGCGAGCAGCGCGTTTGCTCATGAAATAGGGTCGCAGACCGTGACCGAAACTGGTAGTGCCAATTTGTTTTTGAATAAAAAACAATTTCTGCAACGAGGAAAAAGCCCGATTCATTCATTTCCATGATCGTTTAAAAGGAGATTGGAGAGATTTTTAATGATGCTGCTTCTACTTTGATTTTTTGATAATATATTATAATTAAGTCTGCTACGATTATGACCAAATTTATAAACCAATAAATTTTCCAAAATTTCACAAAAAAAAGGAATTGGGGATCGAGACCTGACACATACGCTCAGCTCAGCAAGGGCCAAATGACTCAATCCCTTTCATAACGCGCAATGAAGTCGGAGGCCAAGGAATCGGAAAGTGGCCAAAACTCAGGGACGTGCACAACATTTGACAAGGGATAAAGGCTGTGGAAATATGTTCACTTACCTTGTTTAGAAGGAACCGTGATGGTGGTAAGCAGCGGTGGCTCTAGAGACCCAAATTGAACTTGCCCAGTTGGCAGCAAGGCAGATTCTTTAACAAAATATTATTTTATTACCTTTTCCGGCTGCATTTGAATATTGTTTAAATTTCACTCCATATTCTCTAACATTGTATTAAAAGTTCAACTTAAAGACAATTGAAAATTGTGTTTGAGATTAGCGTTGAGGGAAATTGTTTTTTAACAACGTAACGAGATTAAATTGGAAATTGGAAGACGAGTAAATTTAAATTTAAAGTGAAGCGCACGTGGAGTTGTTAGAAAGTTTAGAAACAGAATCTTGCTACAGCGTTTTATAGGCACACTGATTGTGAGTCAGTTTGTGCCTAATAAATCAATAAGTAGCAATAACCAGCAAAACAATTAAGCACTTGTAAATAATAATAGTGACATTATTACACACCTTTCAGTCGGTCCATTAAGGGCTGAGGCTCAGGCAAATCACTGCCCTTACAGATCCGAGTGTAGGACTTGATGAAGAATTCAAAAAGCTCATTTGCCTTGACTTTTTGCCCACCAATCTCTTTTATGACCAAATTATCTGGTGCCAGCAGCAATGGCCCCAGGACACTCAAATGCTGTTTAAAATCAGTCTCTATATCTAAAAATACATAAAAAATTTTAATAAATTGTTTTGCCTTTTGTAGAATTTGATGCCTACCTTTGAGTCTACCATCAAAATTGGGATTGGTGGACACTTGAAGGCCAGGGTGGGGCATCAGGAAGCAGGAGATGTCCTTAAAGCATGACGTAATGTGCCTTCCCAACAAGTGCAGCTCTGGGTGTTGTTTTGCCAAGACCTTATAAGCACAATTGTTAATTATTTCATTTTGCATGTAAAAGTACTATACCTTTAGTTTGCGATCAAAGATCTGTTGTCCTCCCTCGGAACCGTATTTGGCCTCGTAAGGGTAACTCCAGTCTCTGATTAGAAACTGCAGCTTTTGGAATGGATTGTTGAAGTAGTCTTTGAAGGCCAGTTGACTGAACTCAGTGAAGATCTGAATGAATAATATGGTTGTAAATTTACTTATTCAACACTTTTTCAATAGTGCAGACCTGCAAGTGCTTAAGATCAAAACCCCGGATGTTCTGGGACAAATTGTAGACCTGGACAGAGCTGCTAATGGTGCTGAGGGCAAATACAGGGGCGCATTCCCTAACCGCGATTTCATTTTCAAAATCGCCTGCAGTTTCCATTAGGACAACAGCGACCTTGCAGAAAAGTGTAATAATGCTTGTACTGAACTTTTTATTTTTCAAACCTTTTCGCCTACAGGAAGATCAACTAGGAAGACTTCTGACCACATTCGAATTCCAGTGGTGCCTTTTTCCGAGGCTCCTCTCCACGAAAAACCGTCCAGAGGTGATTCTTCCTCGCCCAACCAGTCTTCATTGCCCTGCAAGCACTTTGGGGTGAACACACAAAGGAGACAAAAGGGAGCAAACTAAGCATTTGGGAGCATATTATGCTTGTTCAGTTCGGGAAGGTTACAGAAAGGACTATACACAGAAAATTATTTTTATTTTTTATTCTATGGGCAAAAAAGTATTCCCACGCTCGAGCAATTGCTATTTGAAATGTCAGATAGGTGATCAGAAAAATGTGGTCACCTGCGCTTTCATGTATCTCAGGAAGAAATCCAGCAGGAAGGATTTGCCCTTGCGAAAGGCGCCGGCCACGGAGACCACCACCACATGCCGGTCTTTGACATGGTCCTGCATCAAAATGTCCTCAAGGGCCTGCTCGTCCAGTTCGAAGGTGTGGTCCTCCTTGGCCAGCACCACCTGCACAGCTCTGGCAATGCCCTGGGCACATTCCTTGGTCACCGACTCTTCCACATTCATCTGCTTACTTAGCTTTAGGACTTCAGGTTGACAGGCTGGCTGAGGCGTCATCTCAGAGGCATTCTCGCTACAAATCAATATTTAATTTGTTTACAATTATTTACAAATTTCACAGCCATTGTTTAAAAAAATTTGCAATGAATAAGGTATAATCTGAGGGCTGCATGGCTTTTTTAAGCATTTTTTTTTTATCTAATTAATACTTATTATCTTTCATATAAAAAAATGATATTTGGTATTCTTATGTTAAATAATGGTTTTGTTTTGCCCACCTTTCAATAGGAGCAACTCCAATGGGCTCGTCGGTTATGCTGCCGAAGGACGTTGCAAATGGCGGCGGTTTTGAGACAAAGTTATCCTGAGGCGCAACTGCGGTCTCCTCGCGCTGGGGATTTTGATTTTGAGCAGGGCGCTGGAAGTAATTGATTTTAGTTTTTTTCCCCCAACATATTATTTTCATAGAAGCGCATTTCTGCCAAAGTATGTTGTCTGCCAAGGAAGACTGATAAAAGCACACTCATTTAAAATTTCAAGAAAAAAGGTTAGTTACCTCATTCAGAAAGTTGGTAATATTGATTGAATTGATTGTAACAGTGCTGGCCTGTTGGAAAATCTGCGAAAGCACTTGATAATCGGCTAAAAAAATTAGAAATTGTTATTCTTTCATTATAAATGACAAAATACTACGATTCAGTATACCACTACTTGATAGTTGGTTTTGCATTGGCACCGCTGCTGCGGTAGTTTGGGTGCCATCGCCGTCCTTCACATTCGCCACAGACTTTCCCTTGTCATCCATTTTCTGTTGAAAAAATTCATGCAAAATCATAAATTGATGATATTATGAAACATAATTTATTTTCATCCAATAGCAAAATTGTTATAATTTTTTAGTTAATAATATTTTTTTATTGGTCAAAATTATTCATGGGGTTCGATGGGGTTTATAATTAATCTTCTTTATTATTATTTGTATATGATGGATTCATATTATTATATAATTTGGCATTTCGCATGAGACACCAAGAGAGATTTTAAAATTTTTACATATAATTGCGAGATAAATTAATTTGCATTCCGTTCTTTGCGGGAGATGGCACCGCGGATCCCCACTCGCGCGTCTTATTTTGTGAATATAATTCCGCCACCTATTAACCGATTAATTGGCATTAATAGAACTCAAGATGCACAAATCTCGCACAACAAAGTCTCAATAATTATGGTTGCAAGAGAACGGACGCCGCGCAGGCTACTCCAGGCTGGGCTACTCGGCATAATTCATATTTTTTGACTCGCCTAAAGCGTGAAAAAATAGGAGAATAACTAATACGAATATTTCGGAATATTTGAATAATAAAACCGACTTCATAATTAACGCGCGTGATAAAAACATTACGCCGGTTATATAACTATAAAACTTCATGTTTTCTCTCGAAACTTGAGTATGTATAAAATTGATTCGCCGAAAATCAAAGGTCGCGCGCGTATGTACCAGAAAACTTGACTCTCAAAATCGCAATGACCTCCGAAATCGCAGTCTGAGGTCACAAGGAGAATCTCATTTAGAAATTTGGAGCTAAGAAGACAGAGAAATCTAACAACTCCTGCAAAAAAAGATGCTGCCATAACAGAGAGACGAGAAAGAATTCCGAAAATTCCGCGAACTTTACGCGGCCCCGATCATGGAAGAGAGAATTCTTGACTTAAAACAAAATTAACTCACGCACCTTTAGAGAATTATTATCTTCCTTCTCAAAGCTCTCGCTTGCTCCACGAGCTGACCCTTTGATGGCGACAACCCCGACAAAAAGAGAAAATTTTCGTGATGATGAAATTTTTTGGGCGCTATCACGGATCCGCACTTCTTCTCATTGTCAATCTCAAACATACATAACAAAAAACAAATAAACAAAATGTCGGACGGACACCGACAGCAGCGACACTAATACTTACGATTGAATTTGAAACGAAAATGCACACAAGGGCAAGTTTCCCGCAAGTTTCTTCCATTTTTTGCAGGAAAATACATAACAGTGAAAAAGAAATTTAATATTAAGTGAAAAATTCAAAATAGCAAAAGAGTAATTATTTAATTAAGCTGCAAAAGTGTACAGCAGGCAAATGGCAAATTCTCGAGCCATGATTATACCACTCAATACAATAAAAAAATATATAATTATAAAACATAATTATGCGCGCGCCGCAGGTTTTTTATTTAGGAGCTATTTATTTATGTAATCTTACTTTGTGTGACGTGTTTTTCGCACAAATTGCTGTAGCAAATAAATGGGATGAAAAGGATGTTATTTTTGGAGCTGCGAGATTTTTCATCATACCGCAACCCAAAAATCGACAACTTTCAGAATTTTCACTGCATATTCGATTAAAATATATATATTTAATGATAATGATATAATCTCATAATATAATTAAAATCCTCTTTTAATGAATAATAGTGATGGTTTAAGGCCCTGGAAAAATTTTAAAACGCAAAAAAAATAAGCATGCCTCGGCAACGAATACCCCAGACCCCTGCCGGTGTGATTTTTTAACACGCCAAAAAGTAGATTTCTGCATCTATTTATCCCAGAAAAACCCATATCGCAGTGAAAGGAGATGCTTACCTTCATAATTAATCAGAGATTAGCGGCTATTTATTCCTTACACGCGTTCTTAATCGCAAGAGTGATTATATATAGTGATTCCAGTGCGGATCGTGGTGACGCTCTAAAATTTCATCCAGAAAAATATCTAAGAGCTCTCCTTTTCCTTCTTTCAGGCGCGCATTATATGCATGCTTGAACTTGCAAAAATGAATTATGTTTTTCCGCTGAGTTTCACACGATAGTGGGGGAAAGGAGCAAATATCGAAGATATCACTATTGCGTGAATATTGAATAAATATTTACTTTTAATAATTTTGGAAAAAACGATTTTTCATCTTCTCTCTGTTGCATTATTAAATGAATATTAAAAGGAAATGAAATAATTTTTGAATAATTATTTTCATTATTATATATACGAAAATATATTCGACTTTTTCTCTTTGGGTTGACTTCAAGCTGCAGTCGTCCTAGTCTGGTGGATACTCACAGAGAGAACGCCGCCGTCCTTAGAAAAGCGGTTTAGGCACTCACAAATGCGCAACGAAAGGCCGAGGACGTTCGGATGCTAAGATGAAGAAAAATTTCCTCTCAATCAAAACTATAGCTGCAATATCTGTTCAAATTTAGAAAATTTCCACTCATTGAACAGTTTATAAAATTTGTTCAGTAAAATAAAAATGTAATGAAATACAGCATGTTAAATGATTTAATAATTTACAAATATTTGATGGTATTATTTTGTTCCATTTTTAAAATTTATAATTAATTAACTAATATATATGTAGCTTAATATTATTGAAAATTTTTGTTATGTTTGATGTTTTTATGTAATAATTATAATTTATTTTCAATTTTTACCTAAGAAATACTCTTAATTCTTTAATAAGTGAATATTTGAAGTGATTTGAAGAAGAAAATTATGAAATATGTATTAAATTCACCTCAAATAATATCATAAATAAATCTTCAGCGCGCTTTTATTTGTGAAATATTTTGTAAAACTGCCCTTGGTGTAATTTTATCGTTTCAATTTCGACCGTATGTGTCACTGCTGTCGGAGCCTCCAGCGCCACCGCCATCCGCCATGTTGTTTATTATTGCTAGGCAAGGAGTTTGCTAGGTCATCGTGAATTCGCAAGTGCACCCAAATTTCGACCGAAGAGAAGAGCGGAGCTGAAAAAAGAAGAAAAATTCTACTCAAGTTGCGTGAGTTAATTTTTTGTTATTTTATTCAATAATTCTCTCTTCCAAACCCGTGTTGCGTTCGCGGAATTTGTCTTAATTTCTGTTGGTTGCATCTTGTTGGAGTGTCTCATCTCTCTGCCTTGCTTCCTACTGTCTTCGTCTTTAAGGAATCAGTCAAATTTAGATATTATATTGGTTTTTTAATGCAATTCGATCAAAATCATTTATTCGTGAATCAAATCTCAGGAGGATTATTGTTCTAGGATTAATTTTTATTGCATAATAAATTGCTGAAAAGAAGCAAGCTGAGAAAACTATGTGTTTTATTTTTTCATATCGAGATTTTGTCATCCTGCTGTGATAAAATTATTGGATAATTGCATTTATGTATTTTTAAGCCGTAAAAAACCTCTGTTTTTTTTTCTGGAGACAACATATTACATACATACCAACATGTGAACTCCCTGTTTTGCCTGCCACCTGACTGTGCTGACATGCAGATTTTGCATTTTGCAGGAAAGATGGAAGAGTCGGAGGCCAAGGAAGGTGCTCAGGGCGTTGCCAAAGCTGTGCAGGTGGTGCTGGCTAAGAAGGACCACACTTTCGAGCTGAACAAGCAGGCCCTTGAGGACATTTTGATGCAGGACCATGTCAAAGACCGGCATGTGGTGGTCGTCTCCGTGGCCGGCGCCTTCCGCAAGGGAAAATCCTTTCTGCTGGATTTCTTCCTCAAATACATGAACGCGCAGGTGACCACCTTTCTACGATCTCCAATCTGACATTTGAAATAGCAATTTTATTGCTTGAGAGTGGAATACTTTTTTTGCACATATGGAATAAAAAAAAAAATAATAATTTTCTGTGTATATTCCATTCTGTAACCTTCCCGAATTGAACAAGCACGCTCCCGAACGCTTAGTTTGCTCCCTTTTGTCTCCTTTGTGTGTTCACCCCAAAGTGCTTGCAGGGCGCTGAAGACTGGTTGGGCGAGGAAGAATCACCTCTGGACGGTTTTTCGTGGAGAGGAGCCTTGGAAAAAGACACCACTGGCATTCGAATGTGGTCAGAAGTCTTCCTTGTTGATCTTCCCACAGGGGAAAAGGTTTGAAAAATCAAATAATCAGTTCAAGCAAAATTACAATTTTCTGTCAGGTTGCTGTCGTTCTGATGGAAACTGCAGGCGATTTTGACAATGAAATCGCGGTTAGGGAATGCGCCCCTATATTTGCCCTCAGCACCATTTGCAGCTCAGTTCAGATCTACAATTTGTCTCAGAACATCGAAGTTTTTGATCTTCAGCACATGCAGGTCTGCACTATTGCCAAACTGTTGAATAACTAAATTTACAACCATATTATTCATTCAGATCTTCACTGAGTACAGTCAACTGGCCTTCAAAGACTACGTCAACAATCCATTCCAAAAGCTGCAGATTCTAATCGGAGACTGGAGTTACCCTTACGAGGCCAAATACGGTTCCGAGGGAGGACAACAGATCTTTGATCGCAAACTTAAGGTATAGTACTTTTACATGAAAAATGAAATAATTAACAATTGTGCTTAAAAGGTTTTGGCAAAACAACAACCAGAGCTGCACTTGTTGGGAAGGCACATTACGTCATGCTTTAAGGACATCTCCTGCTTCCTGATGCCCCACCCTGGCCTTCAAGTGTCCACCAATCCCAATTTTGATGGCAGGCTAAAAGGTAGGCGCCAAAGTCTACATAGGCCAAAATAATTTATTGAATATTGTTTTGTAGATATAGACACTGATTTCAAACTGCATTTGAGTGTCCTGGTGCCACTGCTGCTGGCACCAGAAAATTTGGTCATAAAAGAGATAGGTGGGCAAAAAGTCAAGGCCAATGAGCTTTTTGAATTCTTCATCAAGTCCTACACTCGGATCTGTAAGGGTAGCGAGTTGCCTGAGCCTCAGCCTATGATGGACCGACTGAAAGGTGCGTAATACTTTCATTTTTCATTATTATTATTATTATTTTTTTTTTTAATTTACACAAAGTTAAAGGAAGTAATTTTAGAGATTAATGTTAAAATATTCCAAATTATATATTATGATTTAAAGAATAGTTTTGCGGGAATACGTAGGAAATATAAATGAAAGTATTTTTTGAAAAAAAATTAACTTGTGCGCACTGAGCGCGTGTGATCATGGAAGGTTGTGTTTGAAATTTTAAAGCGCAGAGCGAAAAGTGGGGCTGCCCATTCTTGGTGGTGGCATTAGCCATGGTGTGACTGATAAATCATAATTCAACCGCGAAGCAGGATCGGTTTAACTTCAAAATGGCATTAAACTCACTCTGGCAGTATTTTCTGGAAAGATATTTTTGTATAGTTCAAAGTTGCAATTTTCTGCAATCGTCAATATGGCAACATCCTGGTTCTATAATATGAAGGTATTTCTAATGGCTTTAAATATAATTTTTTTTTACATATATAAATTAACAGAAACATCCATGCAAACGAACCGCGAGTGGTTTAACTTTGTCGAGTGCCATTTCGCCACTCAGCCTCATCTTCTTGTGTCTTGGGAAATTAATTACAGCAAAGCAAAATCAAACCACGAAAATAAGCTTATTTTTTTTAATGAATGAGTAAGCTTTTGGACCAAACTCACAGTTTATAATGCAATGTAAATCGCTTCTCGTCCAGACTGAATGCATAAGGTCAACTCGACGCGTTAAGTTGATAACAAAAATATATACCGGCGATTAAACAAAAACTAATATTTTGATCGGATCAACTTTTGCTACTTTCCAAATCAATAGTTATAATTATGCTAATATGATTTTCTTGGCTGTAAGATAGTGGATTTTTTTACAGCAGTCGTCAACCTTGCTGGGGAGTCTGAAGTGCCCAATCTACAGCAGCAGCAAGCTCAAACTGAGTAAGTATATTTAAATGTATATTTTTCTATAAAATAATATCGACAATTTTACCGCGGTTTTTGCTTGACAAGGAAAAGATGGGAGTCTTTCGGTTCGGATCACTGCAACTGAAGCATCTCCTAACTTAAAAGCGGTTTTTTGGTTATCTCGCAGATTTAATAAGTTCCAAGGAAAATATTTCAAACTTTTACTATACAGAGTTAGCCAAAAAGCTCCACATGAAATTTTAATTTTTAAATAATTTGAAATAATATGTTGGCCTAAGAATGTTCTCGCGGCCTCAAAAAGATGCTGCACAATCCCAATTTTACGCAAGTACCCAAATTTCCCCCACCATTTCACCATAATAGTTTTCACTTGCCGCGCGGCCACAGAAAACGCCGGGAAATGATTGCGTAAACCCTCTGCAACGCCAGGATCACGGTTCTTCCTTTTATTAATGGATATAGAGTTGATCATTTTATTGCAACTTTGTAATGCTGTGCCACACTTAAAGTTTTAATACCGATAATAATTTGAAACTGTGTTGTACAACGTTGTACACCTACAGTGTTTAACAAATACTTCATTCATAATTTGAAACTTTTGAAAGAGATCGAATTTCATGCGTATACCTTAACCACTTTTATCAGCAAATCGATTTCTCTTGACGTTAGCTTGCCAATGTTGAATTACTTGTGCTTTCACTTGCAACAAACAAATGCAGAGCTTTTTTCCTATATGAAGGGGAAAATGAGTTCATCTAATTTCTTTCCACCCAGAGCCTCAGTCTCATGAATTTATTAATAAATCCATGCTCAGTCTATTGTTGCATAATTATATTAAAAAAACCAAGCTACGCAGCGCCGCTGTGCCGCTGAACACCACTGTGAAGCAGCTTGCCTTTTTAGTTAAAAAAAATCAGTCATTTTAGTGCGCATCTCCGTGCGATTTGGCGTTTTTTCGATTCACTCGGACTAAAATGTATGCAAAGGTCTCTTTTCCATTTTTCAACTGACTCCGCGCCGACCAGATTGTTTATTCGACGTGCAGTATTCATTGACTGAGGAAGGATTGTTTTTTTTTTTTTTTTTTTTTTTTTTTTTTTATTGAAAGGCCTAAACATGCTGACAAATGCATGCCTGATTGTGAGTCTCATTTAAAAAAAATGTTTTTCGTGCTTTTAATTTATTAAAAATTGATTTGGCCTGTTTTCCATTTAAATTCGTTCCAAATCGATCAAAAAAATTATAATTTGGATACACTATGCTAAAAATGTAAATATCACTGTCGGAACTGTCAGTCTGTTTCATATAATATACTCACTACTGCAGCCATTCAGAGAAGCCTTTTTGCATAAAATTTCTTTCAAACTCTCTGCGTAAAAAATTTATGACTTTTCGACACTTTTCGAGCATGGTGAAATGGCGTGCTTATATGAGTTTATAATGAGAGTTAATCATACGAGACACGTTTATTTTGCGCCAATGGAAATTTGAGCAACCCGGGTCAATTGATTTTTCAGAAACGGAAATATAATTGACACAAATCTTGCAGGGAAAGCGGCAGCTCAGGACATGTTCTTATTTTATTTCAGTGGTAAACATTTTTGAATCGGAGAAAAAATTTCAAGGTAAACTTTCAAATTTAACTTTGTATGCAAAAGAAGAATATTTATTCTGATATTCCTATTGTCAATCTATTGCGAAGGAGGTCCTATTTTTTTTGCAAATAATTTCGCAGCAGTCAAAATTTGTGGTAAAATGTTCATCTGAATTTTGGTATTTTGAATTATAGATCCAATGAAGTGAGGCCAGTGAGGCCGTGGATAAGAGTCAAATCCAAGCTCAACAGGAATATGATGTACGTGCCAGTGCTTGATGGACTTATATTTGGTATCTACGAAAAGAAAACAGAAAATTCAAAGATCTTCAAATGCTCTCAAGCAAAAAGTATGTATGCACTATTTTACATCACTCCCTTTAACAACTTTTGGTTCTTACAGCAACTGGTTGCCCTGCCACTGTAGAAACAGACTGCGAGTTAAAATTCTATTTGATTGACCCAGCAACTACAGCTGTACACACCTGCAACCAAATCAAATCTAAGCAAATAACTTCAGAGAAGGATCAAGGTGAAGAAAATGCAAACCTGGAGGAAAGGAACAAACAGAAGGAGAAAACAAGCACCCAGCTGGGCAAGAGACAGTCGACGGAGGACGACGAAGTCCCCACCAAAGTTCCCAACATGAATGCAGCCAAAAATGAGTGAGAAGTTCTTATATTATGTGACTTAATTTTATTTTCCTAACCATTTGAAAAGTGGATAAATAAAAATCTCAACTAAATGTCATTTTAAATTAAAATATCTAAATTTTGTCTTAGGGAATAAGATATTTGAGCATTTAGGGATGACTTGGCTTTTGAATTTGTTTATTTTTAGAGTAAATATTGTAATTTTGACAGCAGTCGCTGAAGGTACTTTGTCGAACGCTTTTGCCCTGTAGAGGAAATTTACGAGAAAATATGCGCCGTGTGTTTAATTGTGCTGTCCACTCGATGATCAATTTCGTAAAAGCATAGCGACTTGGCAGCAGGCAAGTCATGTTGGGGATAATTTTCTAAAGGGCGGACGGCCGGCCCTTAGTGCAAGCTGAGCACCTGAGAAAAGGGGTGCTGCACGTCTCTTCCTACGCGGCCAAGAAAACTTAAGAAAAAGCGACTACTAATGAGGCAGAGTTGCCAAAATTCTGCTGCCTAGATGATTTTCGGCTGGAAGAAAGTCTGTTTTACTTAGACGGACTATATAGCTTTCAAATAATTACTGCAACAATTATGAGGATTTTTCTACCAAATCCAGAAAATCTTATATTAATAGCAGCAAAATTGCTGAGCAACCAAATGTGGCAGTGCCTCACCTCTAAAGCAAATGGAAAAATCTTTCCCTATATATCGTGAGAGGTCACAATTTAACGGGGTCAGCGGTGGAGAGCTGATGCCCCTCTAGCGCTCCACATGTAATGTAAAAACAATTTAATATTTCTAATTCAATTATAACTTATAATCTTCATCATTTAAAAAAAAAGGTGTAAAAATTAAGTAGTGGTTTGCTCTATTAATATAACATCAAAATAGTCACTTTGTGAACTCATAAATCATATTGCACCCAATCGAATATTTTAATTAAGTCAAATTGACTTTAATGTCTTTGCAGCAGAGTGTTATTTAACTCGTTTGCACAAATTTATGATGAGCGCTTTGTTTTTGGTCCAGAATGGCTTCTAAATTGTCAACAACTTTATATATAATTATTATAAAAGCTATCTTGAAAACTCCCATTATATTAAGCACACTTAATATATGATTTTCGCAGGTTGATTTGAGTAAATTTTGGGATGTGTAAGACGAAGAGGGCCACCAGTCTATTCATATCAACAAACGCGCGCGTGCCAAGATTTGAATCACACGCACACTTTATTTGAGCCACTTAGGGAGAAAATTTAAATGCTAAAAATTCAGATATTTGCTGTCAGGAAATTAAATGTATAAGAAATTTTTCTTGAAATGTTGGAAATTTTTTTATTAATTAGAAAAAATATTTTTTGTCAGAAATCTGAATCAGGAAGATGCAAAAATTAATGTTTTATTATTTATTAATCATATTACACATATTTGAGCTGTTTTGGCACTATATGAATTTTTACTTGTTTAAAGATCCAATGTGAACACCGAAAATTGATATAACTTTTGCTCCAGGTATTATAGAAAAAAACCATCTCGCCGTTTTTTGATATTATGTTATTTATAATTTAAAAATAATTAATTTTCGGCCATATTTTTTTTTTTAAATTTCATCTATTAAAGACAGACACTTTGGCAGCATTTTCAAGCAGGGTGTCTTTGCTTCAAATCCTTCTCAGACAGCCAGCCCGTGCACCATCGTCTGGAAGCAACTTCATTGGCAGTAATTTCGGTTAAAGTACATACAAAGAAAGCTTCAAACCAGGTGGGAGGAAGAGTGCCACAAAACCTTGTATACTTTGGATAAATTTGGAGTGGATTCAATGAAGAAAAACTAAAAAATAAATTATGTGCAAATACTCTGAGTTAAACATAATATAGTTTGTGCTCGTTTCAACTTAATTCACACTAAAATACTGAACATTTTATCCTTGCATCCATTTAAAAAATGGCGAAAAAATGAAAACATCAGGATCATGTGTGGAAAAAATTGTAGTAAATTAAAATAATTAAATACATATTATAAAAGTTATTCTCCTATACCTTATTCTATTTTGCTCATCAGCTGAACTTATTACTATTCATTATACTTAAACGTCTTAAAGGCTGGCGCAATATCCACGATTAAATCACGTGTCAACTGTCAAGAGTAAATTGAAGTAATATTTTTATTATTAATGTGTTATTTAGAAGGGCTCAAATCTTGAATTGATTGCACGCCAGCCAGCACAGAGGAGGCTGCTGAGAACGGCCCGCTTCAAATTCAAAGGGGCCTTCATCCGGTAAGCACCAGAAGCACCAAAGAAGCACATTATAAGGGTAGCCAACTACATAAATAAAAGGTTTTAGCTGATTCGGTCTAAAATATTGATTCCCTAGAACTAACTGAATTTGAAAATAATTGTAATTATTGAAAAAAAAAATACGATTTTACAAGGATTATTTGTGTAAAACTATATATGTCTATGTGGAAATGTTTTCACTGAGTGGGTTGGCTATGCTGATTGTTGACAGATGTCACAGATTGCAGAAGAACCAATTTTACCGGGAAGAAACACAACAAGCATTTGATAAACTTTTTAGCCAATTTAGATTTTACGATATTTTATAATTGAGTATGGCGGACGCCGTCAAGTTTCTAGACAAAAACACTGCAAGACTCATTACCAGCAATCAAGTCATCCAAGGGCCGTACAATGTTGTGAAGGAATTGATCGAAAACGCGCTGGACGCAGGAGCTACGGCCATTGACATCAGGCTTGTAAGATTTTAATTCTTTCCTTAGATTTTTACTCCCGAGATAATCAAAATTAATTCGCAAAATTCGTTAATCTTCTTTTTTGAATTTCAGGAAAATTATGGACTGGAAAAAATTACTGTCAAGGACAATGCAAAAGGAATCTCCGCTGCAGACGTCGAGGTCATGTGCAAACCAGGGTACTCCTCCAAAATCAGCGATTTCTCTGATTTAGGTGTGCACTTAAAAACATTTCTAATGGATAATTTTTAACATTCAAAAAAAGAATCACACTTGCAAATGATATTTCAATAAATATGTATAATTTTCAATTCATGTTTAAAAATATGTAGGATATTTTTTTTTATAATTTCAGAGACTGTGAGAACTTACGGCTTCAGAGGAGAGGCTCTTGCCAGTATCTGCTGCGTTGCTAATGTGACTATTACCACAAAGACTGAACATTATTCAGTGGCAACAGCCTATAAATTTAATTCAGATGGAGAAATAATTGAAAAGTCTCCTTCACATTTAAATCAAGGTAAATGTCTGTAGTGTTCTAAGGATTTGGTTATTAATCATTTAAATCTTAGGAACCCTGATTTGCGTGCAAAACCTTTTCCATCACCAACCAGCTCGGCGCCGGCTTTTGTTAAATGCCAAGGCATCTGCAAACACACAGGGATTTTCAAAAGCCGGCTGCATTTCACGAATCAAATCCCTCTTGGGTGCTCTGGGAGTGGCATGGCCATTTACTAGAATTTTCTTCATTCACGGTGGGTCGCTAGTTTGGAAAAAGCAAAGTGTGCCCATTGCAGCTGGAGAGCCTATTAAAACCGCGCTCGGAGAATATTTGGGTCACAATTTGGTGTCCAACATGCAAATCGTCAAATCAGAGTTAGACGATTGGGTGAGATTTAATTTTGAAAATATATTTTCAAAATTAAAGTTATAACTTAACAAAGGTTTTATAATGTAATTTTTATCAGGGAACCATGACTGCTGTTCTTCCAACAAGAATTACTTCTGTCAACGAGACTTGTCAATCAAGCAAATCAGCCATGATTTTAATTGTCAACAAGAGGGTTGTTCGTCATAAGAAAATTGAAGACGTAAGCAATGAATTATTGATTATTGTGTGTTAATCATTCAACAAAAAATTTTGATACATACAGGTATTAATGGAGAAGTTCAGGGCTCGATTTCCAGCCATCGGCAGAAACAGGTACCCTGCCTGTGTTTTAGAGATCAAAGTGAATCAGGAAGATTTAGATGTCAATTTAGAACCTGATAAGTCCAAGTTCCTATTGCGATCAGAAACAGAAGTATTGCATTTTTTTTTAAATAATAATAATTGAACTCTTTTTCAATCATATAGGAAAAACTTCTGGAAGCAATCCAAAATCTGCTGGACAGAATTTATGAAGTGGAAGAAGCAGAAGAAAAAGAAAATGACGAGCTCATACATCCTCCTCCAAGCAAAAAGCCCAAAGTCAGTGAATCTACCTCCCAAGACAGCCTAGCAGATTCCAATTCTGTTTTGAATACCCAAAGTTCCAGCGAGGATCAAAAGCTGTCAAGCAGTAGCAGTTTTACACAAGATGCTTTGCTCGAATCAAGTCAAACAGAAAATGAGGGCGGTTTCAAAATTGAGTTTTTCACTCCCGTCACAAAAGAAATTGATCTGCCTTCTACAAATGATCAAAATCCTGAGGATCTGCGGAATAAAACTAAGATAAACAAGCCAGTGTTGGAAGTAAATTTATCGGAACCATCATTTGGAGATGAATCAGAATCTATCTTAGTGGAAAACTCTCTTCTGGCCACCACCAAAGATGACGGAGATGCAGAATCTAACTTGGTGGAAAACTCGCTTATGGCCTCTTCAAAAGATGGAGAAGATGCAGAATTTACCTTAGTTGAAAACTCCTTTTTGTCTACTCCCAAAACTGACGAAGATGATGATGGCCAATTTGTTCTCTCTGAGGAGGACGAAGCGGCTTTGCTGGAGCTGGAAAAACTAATTTGTCAACCTGATATTCCAGTAATCAGCCAAAGTGAGTCGGTCACCTCCCAAAATAATAACGAGGCCCTTCCTGAGTTTGACCAAGCCGATTGGAGTCGTGGGTTTGTCACTGGCCAAACTGGAGCAGAAATTGAGGTAAATTGAAATCATCAAATTAATTGTGTATTGATAAAAGTAAATAATTTAGGGATCCCATGTCATGGTTCAATCTAAGACGACGGCTAAGCAGCCTAAACCTAAACCAGAGAGCAACGATCGGCGCCTTGCGCTCTTGGCAAGTCCTTGCACACAGATGGGCTTGAGTAACCTACGAGCTTTCAACATGTTCTGCAAAGAGACTAGGCCTAAGTGTAATATTTTAGGAACATCCTATATCTGTGGCTAATTATTTATCTTTGATTTTAGTATTAAAAGAAAAGCCAAACATGGGGCTTTGTGAAGTTGCTCCCCTACTTGCAAGAATGTGGAAAGACCTGCCAGAAGCAGACAAGCAGCAATATGACGTGATAGCTCAAGATTACAAACAGAGCAAGATGAAAACCAATGGATTGAATATTGAGAGGTATTTTAAATTTCAGTATCATTGGATTATTAGTAAATTCATTTTTTTTTTAGTCCTCTAGCCACTTCCAAAAAAGTTCAAAAAAGGAAACCTTTTGAAAAGGAAAAGCCAGCCGATGCCAGTTTGTGCTTGAGCATGCTGAAAACTGCTGCCGAGAAGCAGAGTCAGTCTCTTTCAGCAGATCATGATTCAAAAATCATCAAAGACAACCAAGAAAGCGCTCCAACTGTTGCAAAAACCCAGCCAGTAGGTGGTTTGGAAGTGGAAATTATTTCAAACGAAAATATTCCGAATTTGGCCATAGAAGAAACCCCTCAGAAATCTCCAGCTAAAAAGAAAAATATTGTCAAGACAGTTGAGATTTTGGTCACTCTGGAAGACATTATGACAAAGAAATCGATCAGGTTAGATATTATTTCAGAATAAAGCTAAGCAACATTAATTTATAAACCAATTACAGGCAAGGTTGTGTAACACGCCCATTCAGAGTTATGGGAGAATGGAATGGGAGTTGGTTAGTGAGGAATGGCTCTGATTACGGTGTGGTGAATCCTTGGGTCCTACAAGAAGTTCTTTTGATGAAAACGGAGCAGGAAGCATCAATCTCCGGCAACCACATACTAGATTCGCAATCGGAAGTAATTACATAATATTAGTTAATTTAACAATACTGATCTTTATCATTAGGAAAGTCCATCAAATGCAAAGGTTATATCAAGTCTGAGAGAAATGGAAGTCCTGATTGAAAAGTTTTTAAAGTTGTGCAGTTTCGAAGACAAATGTTTACATGGCAAAGATTGTATTGCAATCATCAAGTCAGATAATTCAAGCCAAACATCAACATGTTCAAGTAACTGAGATTTTAAGGTTTTTAAGAAAATAAAATTTGAAATTAAATTAGAAGAGTTATCTTATTACATTCACGTGCGGACATGATTTTGGGCTTTGAATTTAGTTGGTTATTTCTGTCCAGTTTATCAAAACGGGACAAAATTTGGGCTATGAATCAGAAATTTCCAACTCTTCAAGTTCATCTTCCAGGTCGTCAAGGTCATCATCATCCAGGAACAGGTTTTCATCAATAGCTGCAGCAGTAGCACCGGGGTCTACAAATACATTTAAATTAGTACTTGGAGGAAAAAGTCTTTGAACCCTTATTACCTTCGGCAGTTCCGTTTGTAATAGTTTGCGTCTGGGCTGCAATCTCGGACAGCCTGTTTTCAGTAGCAACAGAGCCTGTTCCATCAGCCTCGCTCGCCTCCAGAGCAATGTCATCCAGAACGATTTCCTTGTACTCAATACCGTCGTCTTCATCGTCATCCTTGGACAACTGCCTGTAGTCGAGGGCTACTCCACCTTCTTCAAAGTCATCGTCGCCTTCTCTGGCCAGCTCAGGATTGAAGACGAACATCTCACGACCAGAAATCTATTGCAAATTTGTTAAAGCCAGTCAAAGATTTATCAGGGGTTATCCTTACGCCAACTTGTCTGCCAGCTTTGAACTCTTGCCTCTTCTTTTCCTCGTCAATCTTGGCATTTTTCGCCTTCTCCGTCAACTTCCGCTTTTTCCACGCAATGAAAGTTTCAAGAGTGACCTTGTTGGAAAAAAAAACATAAATTAATTCAAGTCAACAATTCATCATCAGCTGAAAAAAAGAACCTTAGTTAAGTTAAAGCCCAGTGCAGCACGCTCCTTTTCGATCAAGTCCTCCAAAGAAATTTTGTCCATTTTTTCCTCCTTCTTCTTGTCCTAGTTTTTGAAAGGAAATTTATAAAATTGTCGGTTAATCTGAAAAATAATTTGCCTTCTTCAGTTGAAAACCAGGTGGCAAGGCGTGGCGGTAAAAGCACTTGGACCCGTTGGGACATTCCCAGAACCATCCATATTTATTAATTTCCACAGCTTCCAGGAAATATTTGCAGATCTAAAATTTAGAATTAATTGCATTTTCTTAAAGTCATAAGACAAGACTAACAATATCGGTCTGGTTGGGTCGAGCTAAATCAGCAGCTCCGTGCTTCTTTTCAGCAACTTCGCTCAGCTTCTGCTCATCCCAGTCTTCCATGGTTTCCTCCTCTCCTAAATTGTATTTCAATTATTAAGCTTGCATTTTGTATTAAAAAAAATACCATCTCGCATGTCAACGTACAGACTCCTCTTCTCGGCTTTTCGTTCAATTGTCAGATCGTGAGAGAATTTGCATTTGTCTCCTTTGCCGCAGGTGCCCTGCTTAAAAAACGCACACAAAATCGACTTGGGATCAACTCCTGTAAATGTTTTCAGTTTAATGTTTGTCAATTAAATAAATTGGTAATATTTACCTTTTTCCACTTTCTGAGTGGCGACTGGTTTGAACAAAAGGCTGAGAGTGTCCTCTTTCTTTTTCTTTTCCAACTCCAATTTTTTCGCATCCTCCAATTTCCTGTTGCTTGGAATTCCTCCGAATTTCACCTAGAATTAATAAATTTTAACTGCACCAGGCCTCTCAATAATTATTTTACAGCTGCAATCTGCAGTAAATAAATTATTATTTGTACCTGCTTCTCAACTTGCTGAATGAACTTCTGCTGTTTTGCACCCTTTTTGTTCTTCAGGCCAAACGTCTTATCCTGCAAAGAGAAGATTCCGATACATATTTCATAATGCAAATTGCATATTAAATTAATTTAAATCACCAAAATAAAGGGAAATATTCAAACCTCAATAACTTTCTCCTTCTTTTTCAGCTCCGTCTTTTTGCTCGGCGCTGCTCCTGGTGCTTTTTTGGGCGGCATGGCTATTCTTTAAAACTACCACTGAAACATTTAAAATTCAAATTAAAGTAATCAATCTCATAAAAATCAACCAGTCCTTAGAATTAAAATTTAAAATGCATGAACATGTCACCGAACAAAGTCCAGATTGAATGAAAACAATAACGTTGCAACTTCTTCGATCTTTTTCAAGCATGCAAATCAAGTTTTCGACCTAATTTATATTTTTTGCACGAAAAGGATGTTTTCTTAGATCGCATGATGACTTCTCTGAAGTTTTAGAATATTGCTTCTCGGAGATAAACTAATTAATGTTTCAAAAGAACGAAACTAACCTCGTCTCGGCTTTTTTGGTGGGACACACACACGTTTTCCGATGATTTTACAGGTGATTGCCGAGTTTACAATCTTCCTCCTGACAGGAACTAACCGGTCGAGGGAATGCTACGTTTTGTGTCTTTTTCGTTTGGACGGATCGAGTTTTCAGTGGTATGTAGAGACAGGAGCTAAATTGTTATCATCGCTGATTGTGAAAAAAATAGTTCTATCATAACCATTGTAGGAAAAATTGTTATAAAATTCGTACTTAATATGATTTTTTCAAGTTAAATTGCCTGGTATGATATAAAAAAATTAAAAATAATCAAAATAATCATCTCCTTTTTAAACACACCTCTCTCAAAATTGCTCGCATTTTTTCTCTCCCCTCTCTTTTCCAGCTGGATTTTCTATTTTTGTTTATTTTTTAGCTCTTGGGAGGACCGCTAGAGCACCGCTGAGCTGAACTCGCCATGACCCAAACAATGATGTTTCAAATTTCAATGTCTTGATATATTTCGCCGCATTGACTGGTTTTTCGCTGAAAAATGAATCCGAAAAGCGTATCTTGCTCAGAAATCTTCGCTGCCTACAAAAACTGGATCAGCCGAAATCCGCAGCTCACGTCGGATTTGGAAACAACAGTAAAATGGGTCTCATATTTTTTAGCAGGTACATAAATATTAAATTTGGAATCACAATTAACAATTATACATATCGGTGGTCACTTTCTAAATAATTATATTTTTGATATTTTTTATTAAATTATAGGACGCATCCAAAACTCAGGAGTGCTATCCGAACTCGTTTACCTGCTTTCAAATCTTCTAGTCCTTTTCAACGACAGAATAATTCGCTCAGCGAGATTGACAACAATTGAAAATGGACGGAAAATCAAGACTTTTCTCACGGTGATTGAGTATTCCGAGGTCTTCCTGGAAATCGCAGCCCGCCGGCTGTGGGGCCAAAGAGGAAAATGGATCATAGTTGCTATCGTTCAGTCCTTTAAGTAATTTATTGTAAATTTTTTTCTGCGACAAAAATTATATAATTTAATTGCCTAGGTGCCTGTCTCGATTGGTGCTTCTACTGAAGTACAAGGAAAAAATTACCAAGTGTCCACCGATCGCTCCTCTGCAGCGAAATAAAATCGCCGAAGGCCCTCCAGTGGACGTTCGAACCGATCAGTACTCGCAGTCGTTCACCCTGAGCTCCGGACGAGTTGTTCGAACCATTTCTTCGGCACCTCCCATGCACTGCCGGACATGGACGGCGCCCCAACCTCCTCCCCTCACGGAGGAAGAGGAGGAAAGACTTGCCACGCAACATACCAGTGCTGAAGTATATTGATTTTTTTTTTTTTTTTTTTTTTTTTGCTGCTGATGAAATTAATATTTATATTCTAGGTTATTTACATTACCAAACCCATGGTCCACTTGGCAAGCTGTTTGGCTTTTGGGGAGGCAAGTTGGAAACCGTGGCTGTTCTCTATGCTCATGGACGTCACAAGGTAATAATATAAAATATAATCTTGAGCTTTGCTCTTAGCACTTAATATTTAATTTAAATCGATTTTTCGTTTTTACTAATTTTTCTAACATTACTTTACGAATTCAATGATTTGTGATTCGTAAGGTGTGAGAGCTGAAAGATTATTTTTATGTTGGTTGTTTATTTATAAAAACTGTTCAGAATTTTAATTAAGGTGGCCTTTGTTAGTTTGCAGATGTATAGAAAGAGCAAGTTGCATTTGACGCAGAAACAGAGGCTGGAGCTGTCCCGACGCGCGCTCTGCATGCTCTTTTACATCCTCCGGTCTCCTTTCTATGAGAGGTACAGCAAAACCCGTCTTCACAACCTTCTGGAGGGCTTGTCCAACAATCTTCCCCTGGTGCACCACATTTGCCGGCCACTGCAACGATACATTCCGGAATGGCAGGCCATTTATTTTTACATGTGGTCAGCCTGAAAACCAGCTCGTTATGAAATAATGTGAGTTCGTTCCTTTTGTCCTTACATTTTATTTGTTTTTCTGGGAGATTTCATAGTGTTTTGCATTTTTATAAAATGGTATTTGTTCTTGATTATTGTTGACTCTTCAAAAGATATTAAATAATATTTTATAGAAAAATTGGCTGATTTTTAAAAATGTAAAAAAAAATCCCTTAGAATGAGTCTTATAGAGAAATTATAAAAGCTGAATCTAAGAACGTTCATCATTTGGCATTTCAATTTTATCCAGTTTGTTTAATATTAAAATTTTGACTGGTGATGACAAGTTTGAATAATTTTTTCCTCCGTGAAGCAAATTATTTACTATTCTCATAAATGCAATGCATTTTTGAAGCTAAAACTTATTTCTAAATAATGTACTATTGCCCTCAAAATGAAAAGTGGTAGTTTTGGGTTAAAATTGCGTTTATTTGCGAGACTTGCCGCATAAAATTTCCTATTTACATGAATCAGTTGGATCTTCACAAAGCGATACAAAACGATTTGAATATGAACTATGTACAGCCATTCGTTTTACAAAATGATCAAAGGCAAGCAAACACTGGAATAAATACAATCTTTGATTGATTAACAAAAATTAATAGCCGTTCTGGCGTCTGGAAGCAGGGTAGGGACCGTCGTTGCTGGCGGCGCGGTCGGCAGCGTATCCGTTGGGAGGGTCTTGGTACTCGATCTCGGGCCTGTAGCCGTTCTGGTCGGCCTCGTACTTGACGATCTGGGTGCGGCCATCGGGAAGCTGGACGCGGTACTCGCCCCAAGTGGTCTCGCCGTCACGACCCTCCTTGGCGCCAAAGTCGGAGCCGCTGTTGACATCGGTCACGTCGTACTTGAACTCATAGCTTGCGGGCTCCTGAAAGATTAATTATTAATTAAAAAAAAAAATTCAATGCAATGAGAAAAAATTAAAAGAGGAAGTTTTAAAGAAAGTATCACTAACCGCAAGGGGATCTTCAGTGGTGACACCCTGACCATTAGGGGCACCATATTCAGCAGAAGGGGCACCGTACTGGGTTGAGGGGGCTCCGTACTGGCTGCTGGGAGTGCGGGAAGACGAAGAGCTCTGCTTGTTGTTGGATGAGCGACCGAGTTCCACAGCCGGGGCTCCGTATTGGGAGCTAGGAGTGGGGGCGCCATATTGGGTGCTGGGGGTAGGTGCTCCATACTGAGAGCTAGGGGTGGGGGCTCTGAATTGAGAGTTTGAAGCGGGAGCTCCGTATTGCGAGCTGGGGGCTGAGGCTCTGGATTGGGAGTTGTAAGCAGGGGCTCCATATTGCGAACTGGGGGCAGGAGCCTTAAATTGCGAGCTAGGAGCAGAGGCTTTGAATTGAGATTTAGCAACAGGGGCTCCGTATTGAGAGCTAGGGGTGGGCGCCGCGTACTGTGAGCTCGGGGTTGGGGCTCCATACTGAGAACTGGGAGCGGAGGCTCTGAATTGGGAGTTGGAAGCAGGGGCCGAATTCTTGGTCTGGAAGTCGGCGTTTGGGGCTCTGTATTGGGAGCTAGGGGTGGGAGCTCCGTACCTTGAGCTGGGGGCGCTGTAGGTGGACAAGGGAGTCGAGGTGCGAGGGGCTCCGTAGGTGGAGGACGGGGCTGAAGTACGGGAGTTGAAGCTGGGCGCTCCATACTGGGACGAGGGGGTTGAAGGGAGGGAGTTCTGAGAAGAGATGGATGAGGTGCGAGCACCGAAGTTGGCAGAGGGAGCAGGGGCGCCGTACTCAGTGTTCGGGGTGTAGGCGCGCGTGTAGTCGTTGGGGGAAGGAGCTCCGTACTGGGTTGATGGGCTGGAGGCACCAGAGTTTCCAGAGAAGGAGGATTGGGATGCAAAGGAGCTGGGAGCGCTATAGGAGTTGGAAGGGTTGTAGGAAGATGAGCCAGAGCCAAAGTTCTTGGCGGACTGGGAGCTCAGCTGGTTGGTCGAAGGGGCTCCGTACTTGGTCGAGGGGGCAGAGTTGAAAGAAGGGGCGCCGTACTGAGAGCTGGGGGCGCTGTAGTCAGAAAGGGCCGTCCTGCTCTGCTCGTTGGCGGAAGGAACGCGAACTTCGGCAATGGGGTACTGGTTTTCGAAGCCACTGGGGGCGCCATACTGAGAGCTAGGGTTTGAAGCGTAGCCGCTGTTAGCGTTGGGAGCTCCGTACTGGGAGCTGGGGGCGTTGAAGGACGACTGCCTTTCGGCGGAGCGACCAAGCTCGACGGCAGGGGCGCCGTATTGTGAGCTGGGGGCGCCGTATGTGGATGAAGGGGTTGAAGGCTGGGCGTTGAAGCTGCTAGGGGCGCCGTACTGGGCAGAGGGAGTCCTGGGTGCAGCGGGGGTGCCGTACTGAGAGTTCGGGGTTGAAGCGCGGGAAAAACCGGAGTTTTGGGCAGGGGGTCCGTACTGGTTGGAAGGGGTGCGGGCGCTGAAATTGTTGCCAGAGGCGGCAGGGGCGCCGTATTGGTTGGATGGAGTGGAGGGGCGGCTGTACTGGTTGGCCTTTGAGTCAGGGTAGCCACCCTGGCCGGAGGACTTGGAGTTGCCGAAGAGACGAAGCTGAACGCGGGCGGCCGGAGGAGCGAAGTTGTTGTTGGCGCCGTTTCGCGAGTTCTGCGAGTAGCCGCCACCGTTGTTGGCGGGAGGGCCGTACGAGTCGGACGGGGCGCCGTACTGGCTCGAAGGGGTGTCGTACGAGGGGGCACCGTAGTTGGTCGACGGAGCGTCCCTGTTGGGTGGCAGGTAGGAGTTCTGGTTAGGCGCCGGCGGCTCGGCGAGGGCGACCACCGCGACGGCGGCGAGGATGGCGAACAGCTGCGGGAGAGAAGAGATTCGATTTAGTGAAAAGTTACGCAAATGTTTGATAGATTGAGTGAGAAGTCAGGAGAGGTGAGTGTTGCGTAAAAGTAGCGCATCTCGGCAATTTAGGAAACGATGACGTGAACTTTGAACGCTCTCTCCCGTAAATTGCGCTTAATTGCAAGTTCTAATGTTCAACTGGGCCCAATGCAGTTAGCGTAATATAAATTAAAATAACTGTTTAACAGAAAAAACATTTTCAATGATTTATCTTGCAATAATTTTTATTTATTCAAAATGATTATTAAAATTGAAATTATTATTTTATTTGCATTTTGTTAATAATTTAATGCTTGAAAATTAAAAAGTAGAGTTTGAAAAACAGATGATGAAACGCTGTAACTTTTTTTGAAATAGAAATTTTTAATAAATAAAAGCATTATTATTTTATGAAATGTAATCACTAACTGTAGATTTTGATTAATTGATGACAAAAAATCTAAAAGAAATTCACGAATGTGTATTTTAAATTAAATTTTTTCCAATATGGAAATATTCGGCACGTACCTTCATTTCAGATGACCAGAGAGTCTAAGTGAGTTGCGAGTGGATGGTGTAAATATGATGCTGCAATCAAAAGTGCACGCAGCATTTATACCTTGGTCCGTCACCCCCTCCCCGGCGAACAGAGATTGCAGGACGCGCTTTAAAAAATCACCGAGATGCTCCTCTTTCAATTGACCGGCCGTCCAGGCGGGGGTGGGGACGTTTTGCATCAGCCGCCGGACGCCTCGCTTTTTTCTCCGTCCTACCTCTACTTTTAACTAGACGTACGTACGCAACGAGGCGGGCGTCAAAAAATTTCAGATTGCCTCACAAGAGAGCAAAAAGGCGATGGATGTGCCATTACTTACCATTAGCGTTCGCTTTCAGTCGAGATGATGCTCCAGTTTTGCCTGCGATTCACGCGCTATTAACGACGGCCTTGCTGCTCTTTGCATTGTTAAACGCGATGAGAGCGATCAATCCGCGCCCGCCGTCAATTATGTGCAGTGCGGAAAATTGGTTTATGTACAAATATTCAGATAAGGTTGCATATGGGTGCATAAACACATCAGCATATTTATTATAAAGACATAATATGGAGCCCACTTCACAGTTTCTCAATTTTTTGACCACAACTTTTGTATATTGCTTCAAATAAGAGATTGGTGTATTTTTTCTATAAATGATTGGTCAGCATTTTCCACGCACAAGTTTTAAATTTGGCGTTCTAATTTCTTCATAATAACAATCTTATGCGCAATGAAACTTCTAATTTCAAAACAGAAAATAATTTAGTTTGAAGATTTAAGAAAATAATTTATAATTTATTGAATCCTTTAGTATTAAATTAAATGATCAAGTTTGTGCCCATCTGATTCCACAAAGGTGCTAGGCATTATCAATTCCTGTTCAGCATAATTTTTATTTTTCTTCCGTTTTTCCGCATTTCTCTTTTTTGCATTGTAAACCTGAAGAAGGCTTTATGACTGGATCAGTAAAAGAAGTTTACAGCTGAGCTCAGCTCGGTTCTTAATCAATCTAAATTTTAAAACTGGCACCAAATTTTAGCGCACTTCTTTCACCACTGGCAGAACAAACTTTCAAGGCAGTTCACGAACTTGATCATCAATATAAAGAACAAGTTTTATTACCTTGCTCAGTGATTACTAATCATAAATTATAAAACTGTTAGTTAAGTTGTGAAATTGTTTATCAATATCCAGTCAAAATGTATAATTTTTTTTAAATTTTTCTAGAAACTTTTAATTTGTTGCTCCAGTTAACAAATTTACATGGTTTTTACTTGAAACTCATTTCTTCACACTTTTAAGCTTAAAATTAAAATAATGTAATTCCACTAAACTTACTCATTTATTTCTCTGATAATTTTATTAAAATCAAAATTATTGGTGCTGTAAGAGATAATAAATTATTTTAAAAACTTCAGAATGGAAGTGATTCAATCCTCCTCATTTGTATGCATTATTCAGCACACCGGTCAACATTGAGCTCTGCATTGAAAATAAAACCCTTTCTGAGAATCGCACTTTGTGTTTCTACTTGGGGCCGGTCATCTCTCAACACTGAAGTGTCGCCTCCGCGCGCAAGAACAAAATCAGAGAGAATAAATGAAATCATCGGCAATCATGTTGGCGGGGTCACGATTAATGCGCGAGAAAAAATTAATAAAACTTCATACCCAGTTGAAATTACTGCCTTTTGTCATGTGGTAATTAAGCTCACATTAAAAAGCACCTCGGCGATTTTAACGCCTGCAAGTCAAGAGTGTGAATTGTAATTAAACGCATTCCGAAAGGATGCTCTCTATTGAATAAAAAATATTAATGCTCGTTGGAGAGAAAGTATAATCGCATTGAATTATTTTTATAACTATTAATCCAGATTGCATTACGCTGATCGTGTGCGCTTTAATTCGCATATTAAAAACCTCGCTGGCGGCCTCTGCGTACTCGTCTGCCTTTTTACTGCGGCAAGACTTATTTGACTCTCGTTTTTCATTACACGCGTGTTTCGCAATTAACAGGCAATTAAAACTAAATCAGCTTCTTGAACATGATTTATGTACTTTTCACTCCTCCTCACTAACTGATAATTGTCGGTTATTTTTATGCAACAACCAGTTCCAAGTATGGTGTATTATGAGTATAAATGAGCCTTTTCCCACTAAAGAAAATTGACAACCAAATATGGGTTATTGTAATTTTTTTTAAATTATTAATAAGATAAAGTAAATAATTATAAATTTATAAATAATAATAAAATAAGAAATTTTATAAAATTATAATTAATTTGTATAATTTTTAATTATAATATTATTATAATTATCTTTTTATTCTATAAATTGGGCTAAAGCAGACTGAGGTTATTTTTTATTCCAAGGCTAGTTACATTTTTTATTTCTTATCAAGTAAGATTAAAAAAATTAAATGAGAATTAACATGTTTTAATTAAATTATGCATAAAATCTTTTCACAATTTGGAAAAAAACTCCTATTTAATTCTATACTTTATTACCTTTATTATTGTGATTTTGTTTCCAGCCAAAATTTTTTGAAATAGAACATTTCCCCCACCAATAAACATGAGTGACTTGCTCTTTGAATATTACACATTTTATTTTCATTTGATTCATTCAATTCATTTTGGCTGTCTAAAATCTGATCTGCATGACTTTGACAGTGATTTAGTTGGAGCCATTAACGAAATTTTCACGTCTTTTCATTCATCATCACACACATGTGCGATATTCTGGTGCATAAGTGAGGTCAGTGTTTGTCTATCTGCCGAGACCGTTCAAAGTGATACACAATCTTTAAATAAAAATCGGTGGCGCACTTGACCTCGCACCTTATTTGTGTCACTTTGGCATTTACTTTTCACATCTAATAAGAAGAGCACACCGGCATTTTTGCAACCAAACAAAGCCAAGGTTGCGCAAAATGAAAGAGAAAGAAATAATATGTGACGCGTGCTTTTTAACAAATCAATTAGCTTTCGTGCTTAATGAATGAGCAGCTTTTTAATCGCAACATCGCATGATCGCCGCTCTGGAAAAAAAAATAATAATTAATCTCCGGCCAGGCAAAACGTTTAATTATGACGGATTGCATTTTACGCAGCTTTGAGATAAGCCACTGCAGAACAGATGAAGAAGCAGAGGTCGACTTAAATAATAGTAACTGGCCATCGTGATTGCTTTGATTTATTGCTGTTTGCCCTCGTGCATTATTGTGAGTGGTCGCCGCGCGTCTCTTTCAAGACTATAGTTGCGGTCGGTCACGACTTTTGTAGGTGGATGCGGGTGTTTAATTTCGCTATTTTTCTAAAACTGAGCTCATCAAAATAGATCCATTTGCAGAATACAGACAGGTAAAAAAATATAGCCATCATTAGATTTACCTCCTGGAAACTGAGGCCAATTTAAAGATATAAAAAAAGTGAATATTTTGTATTACCTCTAATTTTTTAAATAACAAATTTTTAAGCAAAGATTATTTAAAATAATACATATTTGGGCTTCAGGATTTTATACTAATTAAGTGTTATGAATAGTAAGAAAATTTTTTTTTATTTAAATGGTTAATAAATAATGATATTAAAAAAATAAAAAAGATAAAATTGATTTTATTTATTTATTATTGTTGTTATATATTTTATTTTTCCGAATTTTGATTTAACTTTTAATTTATAAGAAATTTAAAATTTCAGAATTATTGTATTGTAATAATTAAATAATATTTAGTTAATATATATTTTTGTTTTGCTGAATCTTATATAATTTTATTTTTTTTTCAATATAATCTATTTAAAAAAATTATTTTATAATATTTAATTATAAAATTTATAATTGAACATTAATTTCAATCCATGCCACAATCATCGTTCTTGAAAAACCCATTTTAACAATTGACATGCGCATGTAAGCTCAACCAGATAGAAACGATAGAAACAACGAAAATGAAATTTTTATAATGCTCTTTGTAGGATGAACAATGGGAAGAGAGATACATAAAATCGTGACTTGTGTCTTGTGTCTGAAAACTCTAGAAGGAAATCCATCCGTCAACCTGCGGACAGACTCAGAAATTTCAACTCCGGCACAAAACACAAATGATAAGGTGTCCGCGTGCCCTTGAATTTGCAATATATTTTTCTTCTCTGCTATAATTAAGTGAGGCAGATTTATTTGCACCCCGCGCTGACGTCAGGTGGGGTTTCTCACCACATTGTTTTCTTTCCTCTCTCGTGCCTAATTGGTGCTCCACCTCAGGTCAACCCGTGCGAAATGTTGGGTTGAGGTACCATTCAAAATTTTCAAGGTTGAATTATAAAAGCTGGCAAAACGTTTATGAGATTATTTCATGTCAGTCCATTGTAAGACATTTTCTGCGTATCTTTTGCGAAAAAATACAGGAGAGCGAAAAGAAGATGCAAAAAATATATGAGTTGAAATAAAAACGTTGAAAATAATTTTGTGAGTTTTCACGCCAATTGTAGAACTTATGCGTGATGCACAAACCAGCAGTAAAACGTTCCGCGACGATTACTTTTACTTTCAATTAACTTTTAAATTAAATTTAAAAATTACTTTCATAATCTTAGAATTTGTTAATCTATTATTTAAATAGCGCTAGAAAATTTGATATTTTTGCAGATGGAAAAGCATTTCAGTCATTTCAGTATTAAAGCATCCATTAAAATCAATGTGAGTGAAAATTATTATATTCAATTTCATCATCAATTGTTGTTTTATCAATTTTATCATACTAGCAAGAAGTTTTCCAAAACTTCCAAGTGCAAACCTTGTCTACCACAGTGTGACTTATTGTTAGTTCAATGTTTCTTCAAAAATTTTTTTTGTAAGTCTCCTCAAATTATTTTATTTCTTTTAAACAAAATTTTGCAAGCATCATGTTTCATGTTTTAGAAGCACTAAACATATTTATCATACAATCCCGCGATCTTCTCCTGCACCTACGGCTGCGAACACATGTCATAATTCTCCACATAGTAGTCGCAGATTTGAATCTGTGCAATCACGCGTCAAGTATATTATAACAATGAGAGTGTGCAAGGCAATTTGGCGTCTCAAGAGAGCGATGCTGTCATTTTAAGCCAAAGGTCTAACCGCCCGGCCATAAATCGCTCTTGCGTCCCCTTCAAATCCGCATCATCTTTGTCATTTGTGGGTGTTCAGCTTCAGCACAAGTTACAAATAACAACAATTTTGGATTTCTTGTGTCCATGTTGAGTGTATTATGGGAAAGAATTTTTTAACGAGATTAAACCCGGATTAAAACTTTTAACATGAATATAATTTGTATGTATCTTTTAGTTTGAATTAATTAATTCTGTCTTAATTCCAATTATTAATTTAATTCAATTCTCACCTACAAAGAAAAATAATTAAACTCCATTCATGAATAAATCAATTTATAAATGTAGACATAGATTTATATCTATGACACAATCGGCCGCAATTAATAACAACCAGGTGTGCTGCATGCTCTGCAGGAAGAGTTGTGCGAGCGACCCTTCCATTCATTCGTATTGAATATCCATAATGGAATTGTTTCATAAATTTTTTGCACGAGATGGGCCAGTGAAAGTGAAAAGTCTGCGGACAAATGAACTGACGCCAACAAGAGCACCAACCGGTTGATTGATAGGCCGAGATCGATCGATCGCCGATTGATCTGATGCGGTGAACGATGGCACCGCATTCATTGTTCTCGGCTTTGGGCGCCAGTGGCGGAACTGGAGACGGCAACACTTTAAATTAATTTATTTTGATTGAGGTCCCACACGATGGGAGAGATCGGACCTTGATGCATACACTCGACAGAAATTATATAAAAGTTAATTGTGTTTTGACTTTTCGATACGCACCGTGATGCATTCCAGATGGAGCCGAAGCAACCAAAGTGATTTCGAAATTATAATTTCTGTCAAAATCAGATCGTAACACTTCTGCTAAGGTCATAGTCACATACAAAAACAAAACGCCAGTGAAATGAGGTTATTTAAAATTTAATAGCTATGGATATACAAATACGAAAGATATGATACAATTTAAGTTAACTAATTTAACTATCTTCATTACAAATATAATTATTTAAAAAATTATTGCATTATTTGCGATTTTTAACTTTTCAAATTGTTAGTTTTAAAAGTAAAAAGTTAAAATTAATCCAATTTATTGTAAGACAATCAAAATAATTAAGCTAGGCGTAAAATAAATTACACCAAAAAAATATAAACAAAAATTTAATCTTGTAGTTTACAATTGGTGCTTTGAATTTAAATTCGGCTTTTCCTCGATAGATTTTTGTAAGATTTTTATTGTTGAAGAAAATGATATTGCTTTTTTTTCTTAAACAATGATAATAAAAAAAATACAAAAACCATTGAGGAAAAGCCAAATTTAAATTCAAATCACCAAAAATTTAATCCTTGTCTCAAATTGCCCTGAAAAACTCACATTTCTTTCTCATTTGTCTGCTGATATTATAATATTTTACAATATTTTTTTATTTTATTTTCGTGAATTTTTTCTAAAATAGACAATTTCAAAGTCATATATTATTTTTCTTTTGCGCCACTGCGAAGCGCTCGCCAGAGCTGCACAATAAATAATTGCTTTTATCGCGGCGACTTCGTGCGTACATCATTGATCCAGATCGGCTTACACACTCACGGCGGCAGAGAGGTGCATTCAATTTACAGGCAGATAAGTAATCATTCATGACGCGCCGCAAGAAACAATTATTGAAGAGATGCACTTGTTTTTATTTGAAAGTGTAACATGCTCGCTCAGTTTGTGTATTGGGCGATTCAGCGATGAGTTGTGTGTTGCATAATTTTTAATATTCTTCCTGACGTGAGAGAAGAGAAATAAATATGGCTTGATAATCGTAATTGCCATATAATTAAATATTGTTTTATTGACTCTCGCGTGCACAATATGCAATAATTTAATATTAAAAGATGCACGCTTCTGATTTATGATCTACTTACTGCGTGTTTATGAACTCTTGAGCTCTCCTTGCTGCCCATTGGCATTTTTAGAGTTGGAATTATGAATTCTTGTAGTTTAATATTTTAATATTTATGTTAATAAAATTGCAAATATTGTAATACAGTTGATAGGATCAATTCTTAATTGAAATTATAACTAGAAAAATAAATATTAATAAGAAACAAAATAAATAACAGTTAATTTTGTATCTATAAATTGAGAAAAGAATAATGCGTTGTTTTAAATTTAATAAACTGAAAAAATAATTTAATTTGTATCACTTAAATGTTAAGACAATTATTATTTATTAAATTGAAAATTGAAACTGTCTGTTCTGTTTATTTGTTTTAATCACATACATATTTAATCTACGCGCAAAAAATTAAAAGTTTCATCAATAATTATAAATTCCTTGATTCTATAAGATAAGATTCTATTGTAGTCAAGCTACTTTAGAAAAAATTTATTTGTAATCTTTCCACAGTTACAGTTTATGGAGGAAATATACCTGAACGCAATGGAGCATGGAAAATGAGCACTTTCAATAAATCGTGGGAAGCTCGTTTGATTTCTAAAGTAGTTAGATACATTTCAGCGATGTTAATTTTTTAGGAGAAGCTCCGCGACGTTGCAACAGAATTCGCGAGGGCACCCACACTTGAGAAGAGGAGCTGGCATCAGAAGCTGCGATCTTAATGGTCGTTTAATGGGCACTTTGCTCTGAAAAAAGGAGAACATTGCTGCAGAGATTGGGAGCGACCAAATTAAATAAGTGAAACAAAAATATATGAACCATAAAACAAACGTGTTGCAAATCAGCGCCCCATTTAGCTATTAGTTGAGATGTGTGCGCAACGCCACTTTTTTCAGGGCCTTAAAATATTTTTAAAATTATTTTATAATTAGTTGAATTAGTTGCATTCTTTTTGGCACTTTTTGTATCAAAATTTGACTATTATTGAACAATATGTTCTTTCTTCTAATTCACATTATCTTAATTTTAGTTTTTTTTTTTAATATTCAACTTTGTTGCAAAAAATAATGATGAGAGCTGATGGGAACATTAAAAATTCTTAAGGTTAGCTTATGTAGCGGTATTTTTTTCACTTAGCAATTTAGTTTTGGAAATAGAGAATGGAAAAATTATTGATTATTATGCGCGAGAAGAATAAATAATAATAATATAATATTAAAAATGATTATTATATGCATTTGATTTCAATCAAATCAATCAATTTCGGCAAACAGTTTATGCAGGGAGAAAGAGTCAAATGCGTGAATATTAAAAATACAATGATTTAGGCGTTATTTCAGTTTTGATTTAATGACTGTTAGTTATATTCACAGTTTAATAAAACCATAGAGGCACTTTTTAGTTGGTGCAGTATACATATAGATATCATCGTAAAAATAAGCATATAGACATATAACAATACAGTTTCTCGAAAGGTGAATTTTCAATATTCCAATTGATAAAAATTAACACAAGATTCTTTTCGCTGGTCGTACAGAAAAGGAATTGAAATTTTGAGCAAAATAATTTCACAATTTGCCTTCATGGTAACTTAAATGGAACACAATAATTTACAGGAAGGTTATTTCACAATTAGTAAGGGCCGTTGCCGAAACCAGGTGCTCTGGCGGAGGCGCCGCCGAAACTGCCCTGGCCGGACGCAGGGTATCCGCCCTGACCGCCCTGGCCGCCGTTGTTAGCCTCACCCTCGTACTCAATGGTGGGTCTGTAGCCGTTCTGGTCAGCCTCGTACTTGACGATCTGGGTGCGGCCGTCGGGCAGCAGGACGCGGTACTCTCCCTGGACGTAGTCGCCGTCGCGGCTCTCCTGGTGACCAAAGTTGGATCCGCTGGCAGGGTCGTTCACGTCATACTTGAACTCGTACTTGGCAGGCTCCTGTATTTTCAGAAATGCGGAGTTCAATAAATGTAAAGAAGACTAAAACTAACAAAAATGTTACTCAATACTTATTTAATTTCAAAGGGTTGGAAACATTAAAAACAGCACAGCAAAACAATGATTAAAGAATCTAAGAAATCTTTCCTAAATGATTTAGAATTTTTACATTTGACGCAAATTTGGTATTTCAAATTATTCCAAGATCAGAAGATATTTTTAGATTTTTAATGTCATGGAAAGTATGAAAGTTAAACCTTAATTTTTGCTCTATAATGGATTATCTAACAAAATAATAATCTGTAAGAGAAAATCAGGGGAACTTAATTGGAATACAATGAAAATGTGCAATGTGTTAAAAAAAATTAAAGTGAAAAAAAATCATACGTTGGAGCCCTCATCGTTCCTGCTACCGAATCCTCCAGGGCCTCCGGAGGGATATCCATTGCTGCCGCCGGAAGAGAATCCGCCGCCTGAGGGACCCCCCGACGAGTATCCGTTGTTGGAGGAGGCGGATGGGGAGAAGCCACCGCCGCCGCCGCTAGGGAAGCCACCAGGGCCGCCCCTGCTGTAGCCAGACTGACCACCCTGTCCAGGGGGCAGGTACTGGTTGCCAACGGGAGGCTCGGCGCACACGGCAGCCAGAAGGGCGAGAACGACAAAGACCTGCAAAAAGTATATAAAAAAAATTAACAAAAAAATGTCAACGGTGATAATTAAATGAATTAAATGAAAAGAAAATGACCATTAAATTTTGTTTTCAATTTTTTAAGAAAAAAAATTCTTTAAAAAAATGCATCGTTTAGCAATGAATTATTAGAGAATGCAAATTTAATTAGGCAACTGTTGTGCTCTTGGAGGGCAGCGCATAATCGAATCAATCACTTTCCAATAAGGTCAAATGCGAGGGAATTTTTCCAATTTGAGAGCGTGCAGGTTGAGAAACGCGTGTGCTGCTTGATCGGTAGCAGCAGCGCACTTAATTAACTTTTGATACAGTTCAGGCTCAAAAGCGTGACTTGAGCAATCCCTGTAGCTCTCAAAGTAGGAAGATTCACCTCGAAACACGGATTATTTATGAACATCGCTCGAGCTTTACCTTCATGTTGTTGTGCGGGATGAGATCGGTGGTGGGCACTTGAGTGATGCTTCTTCGACTTTACCGACCGCTTTTATACTGGTCCTCGGCGTGATTTCCTCCCACTTGAGAGAGGTGTAAGGGTTGATCTTCATTTGCAGCATAAGAGGGGGCACAATTTAACCAACATGTATACTTTTGCTTTTCATACGCGTGCAAAATAAGTGAGCGCCTCTGACACACTCATCTCTGACCAACTTAAAAGGGAAGGGGTCAAGAAAGTGCAGTACTGTTTCATTCAAGAAGACACTTGCAAAAGCATTATCCGATCTTCCCTAAAGAAATTAAGTACTTTTCTTGCAATTAGTCGTAATTGTAAAATATCATTTTTACAAGTTGTTTTGGCCGAGAAGAATAAACAATAATAAAGAATCTAATTTTCTGATTTTCACAATGAAAAAAAAAACAATTTTTATTCCAGAAATCTATCTGGAATCTCAATTAAATAACAAATATATTCGTTTTAGATTGAAATTTTGAATGTTATGCAGTTCAAAACTGCGTCATTAAAATCCTTTTCTCTTTGAATCAGAAAACAAATTTGCAAAAAAGCTAACCAGAAAAATGTTAATTTTTTATTGGAACAGACAAATTATACTTTGTTTATTTCAAAAGATATACATTAAAATGTTATTCAAGTTTTGTCTTATGAAAGAGCAAAAAGCAAAATGATTTTGTTCTTCGTCAGTTAAATAAAACCATATATTTATTCAATTTTCATAATTTATGGCCTCTTCACAGTTGTGCGCTCGATGATTATATGGCTCAATCACTGTAAGCCACCCACAAACACGTGGACAAATTGCATTGGGACTCGCGCAATAAATTTTTTTTACTAGAAATAGCCCTTCGGCAACTGTGAACAATAAAAATGTTGCCGCTCTCGCCTTGTTAGAGAAGACTGGCGGCATAAATATGCATTTTACAAGCGCGAAGCACCCTGAGGTCAAAGGTGCCACTACACTTTACTTAGAGATGCGCCTCCGCACTTCACATTTATGAATAGCTAATAACTTCCTCTGGCAAAAGACACGATTGGAAGAAAGTCATATATTGTATACGTAATCGGTATCAAAAAGTGAATCAATCCGTATATCGTCATCAAAGTGAAATGTGAAGCTAAAAATCAACTCGAGTAGTGATTTTGTTGACAATTTTTTTTATTACTTGCGATAAGTTAATTTCAATTGAAATATTATAAATAATTGTAATAATTATTATTTCTCAAAATCTTTACATAAAAATTCATAAGATTTTAAATTCCCTCAAAATCTATTGCAGCAAAATAAAACTATTAAATTCATTAGCATTAACATTTATTTTGAATTCATAGGCGGTATTTGAGAAATGTGATTTAGTGATTTCTTAGGTGCCTTATAAATTCAATAGTTAAGATCGATTTTTCAGCTCTATGAGGGTTTGGTCCTGTGTGATTTTCATATAAATTGGTCGAGACCGAATCGAACTCGCCTGACGACTGCTTACAAAATCTGAGCATCTCTCTCTCTCTCACCTTTGTGGAGGCGTGGAGAATCACTTTTCATGCCCTTCTAACTCCGATTTGCGGTGCGTTCTCGCCTCATTTTTGTTTAGAGCGCCAGACCAAATCGAATTAGTTGTATAATTACACATGTTCTTAGCCTCTGATTAAAACGAATTTAAAAACTGTTTTATTTATTTGGTGCCAGATGAGGCAACCACTACGAGTGAGTGTGACGAGCTTTTGCAACCAGAAACTGCATCTTTCTCTCTCTATAGCTTGAGAATTCACACCGTGTGCTTACTTAGATCATGTGCATTGGCGATTCTGAGGCGTGAATTCGGTGAAAGAGCCGAGCGCTCCATATTCGATGAATGCGGAGAGTTTGAGTGATGGGGCATCCAGGAAGCATCTGGCCAAATTATTTTCTAATTAATATACAGTGCGGCGCTCTGCCCTCGCAAGTAATTATGTAATTTTGTGCGTTGCAAATGAATGAAGATTGAATCTTCCTTACTCAACTATTGATTGCAAAGAATTCAAATAAAAAGTTCCAAAAAGGTCCAGTATAAAATTTCAAATTCCATGCGGTTCCAAGTAAAATGTAAACGAAAAAATGTTTCGATTTCAAAAGAAACATGAATGTTATTACCTTAATAATTAACTTTACAAATTTTGGCCTTAATGACATATTGTCATGTGATTACACTCAAACGTTTGTAATGACTATATAAATTTTTTAATAACACATGCCTGATTTAATGATTTAGTTATGAAATACTGCTTAAATAATCAAATGCTACGGAACTAAAAATAAAAATCTAGGAGATGCTAATTGTAAGGACCTTTTTCACTTGTGCGATATTAATCGCAGTGGTTCGTAAAATTTTAACAAGAGATTAGTTCTCGATTAGTTGAAGATTTTAATTTTAACTACAAATAAATAGCTGAATCAAATTTGGCACGTGACAAATTTTCTTTTTCATAGTCCGTCCTTGAATTGGAATTGATCCCAAAACCTCCATACAGCAGGCAAATATAATGCATAAAGTCTCCGTTTAGAATAAAAGGCCCCGTTTACATTAAAATCGATATAATGCTCCATTGCATTGCAAAATAAAATCAGTAAAACACCCTCTTTCCTTGTTGCATATAGAAGCAATTCACTTCTGCAAGGTCCTGTGTGGTTTTCACAAAAGCTTTGGACTTTGCTGTACTGATCTCCATAGAGAGGCATTTTTTATCCACAAGTTTTTTATCTTCAAGGTAAATTGAAATTCATCAATTAAAATAAAAAGAAAAGTTTAAGTGAAGCAGTAAAATCGGTCCAAAATATTTCAGTCCAATAATCAGAAATAAATCTCAATTTTTATGATATTAAATTTAATTTAAAACGAATAATTTTAAGATAATTGGGACAATTTTATTATATGATCGCGCTCACATTGACCTGGATATAGCTTTGGTTAACTTCATAAAATATGCTTGGTAATTGAGTTTGAAGTGGTTTCTACACGAAAATATTAAGTATTCTCTTATTCCCAATTATTTATAGGATAGGCTTAGAACAAGAAAAATCAATAAAACCTATGAGTTTATATGATATTTTAAATACAGCCTGTGCATAGAAAATAGATTTTTTGATAATATGCATTGTTATTCTGCCGATGAATATTAATTAAGATGGAAATATTATTTTACAAGTTTTTTGCCTTTATCTCTAACTATTATTTTAATAAATGAGACATTTAAAAAAAAAGCAAATTGACTGTTCTGTTAAAATTTAGGAAATTTATTACATAATTTTTAATACACTTTAAATTTAAATTTTTATCTATTTTGAGAGCTTTTTTGAGAAATAAGAAAATATCTCAACAAAGTTAATCGATTACATTTTATAAGAGGCAAATAAAATTAAAATTCAACTCGAAAAAAATCTGATTTTGTGAATCGTCACCATAAAGCATTGTATATAGCCCAACTTTTAGCAATTGTTTGCCATTGAGAGCATCATCACTCACAAACATAGGCTGCGTTTGTAGAAACATCACTGGGATTGCGAAAAGCAGATCGACTTTGAAGATAATGAAGCAAAGTGATCGCGAACAGAAAGCGCGCATACCTTTTTCTATAATAACTCGTCTTGTTACACTTGTTCTTTTGTTGTGTCACACGCGGCCATTCAACATTGAACCCTGACTGCAGCTGAGACCCAAATCTCGTCGGCAACATCTTTTATTTATTTATCCAACGATTGAATAACAGGCTGTCGCATAATTAGGTTCGATTTTCTTGACTTAATTGCGGCTGGTGCACTCGAGCTGAAAACTTCATTCAATTTCGAGATCCTTCGTAGCAGATTCCATTGAATTGCAAAATAGTGCAGAGTCTTGATTAAATTTATTACCTCTTGATGTCCGCACTTAATTCAGTGCTAATTAATTGTCATGAGTTTTCAGGGACTCTTAAATACTCACTTTCATGGTTACTTTGAGTTTGACAGTGGGTGCAGTCAAGCGTCTTGTTGGCAAATCGTTGCAATGCTAATTGAAAACAATTCAATGTCACCGTCTTGACGTGCGAAAATCGTGCTTTCAAATTATCATAAAGCAATATTCATCGCCTCCAAAATGATTGAAATTATTACAAAATAATCTTTTTCTTGAATTTAAAAAGTTACTTATTTTTAGCAAATTTTGTCATTAATTTTTTTGAAGGAGCAAAGAATTAATTTGTATAAAATTTTCCTACCAAAAAATATTTTGCTATATATTAGATTATTTCATAATCCAATATCAAAGCTGCTCATGTTTTAATGATTTTTTAAGCTCCCAAATTGATCCTACTCAATTATTTCTTAACATTTAAGAGAGAAAAATTCAAACGGTCCCAAATATTTATCTGCAACTATTTCTCAATCAAGGCAATAAAATATCCATACCTTTCTTCAATTTTATCAATGCAGAGAAAAATGGAAAAAATTTATACTAAATTGTATTTTATTTTTAGAAAATTAAAATTTCCACATAATTTTAATTCCATCTTCATAATAATTGCTTATTTGAATAAATAAATTTTTGTTTCGTTTGTCAGAACACTGCAGTTTGAAATTTTGAATTAAAAAGCAGGTCGATGGGTGCGCGACAGAAAGTGGCATCCTAGCTGCACGGTTGGAGCGGCGCGCTCCTCTATTAGGAGAAGATGAGGCGCTACCGTCTCGAGAGTGATCTGATTTGAATGGATCTCCTTTCACCTGGCCGCCGCCGACCCGCGCGCGAGATCATCTGCCCGCCTCGCCACCCACCGTGAGAAGTGCCGTACGTGTCGAGATGTGTGCATAATGTTCACCAAGGTCACTTTCGCACGTGACGTCACGCGGACCATCTCTGCCTCATTTCAATAATGTGTAATAATCGTTCATTTGTCCGGCGGTGATAAATAATCGGGCAAAATATTTGGCTGACCTGGTTTTGGCTGCAATGAATAAAAAAAATCTTAGCAAGTAAGGACTCCTGTCGAGTAAGACAACATGAGATCTCAACTGGAGGCCGGCCAACCAACTCGGTCATCTGCTTTCGCGCTTTTTTTGCATATTGCACTCGTCAGATGTTC